GCGCCTCTTTGATTTCCATATAACAAAAAAAAAAAAGAAAGAAAACCGAGCAATAAATACACAAAAGAAACTCTGAAAAAAAGGGAAAACAAAGGAAAACATTTTACTGGCTTGTCGCTGCCTTTATTGCCGCCTAATCGGAACGGGGTGGTCCTCCCTCCCTTCCCATCCCCACCACCAAAGTTGTGCTTTTTCCTGCTGCACTCTAAGAGGGAGCATCATCAGTCATGCTACTTCATTATTATCGCTGACACTGCTTCTCCGGCCGCTGCCTCTCCTGCTCTCCAGCTCCTCTCTATTCTCTCCCTCTGTGTTGTCGCTTATAATTCATTTCTATTGTGCCATGCCTGAAAGTCCTTTTTGATCCAGCAGACTTATTTGTCTTGAGGAAACTCGCAGTAAAATTGCTTTTCCTACTACGCGCTCGCTTCCTGTTGCCGCTTGTTGCGCTCTGGCTGAAGCAGAAGCTGACGCAACTTTCCCATTGTCTTGTGGGTAAAGTCCCGGTCCCGGTCCCAGTCTCAGTGCCAGTCCCGGTCTCGGGGATCGGTGTTAATAGACGCTGTTGGCTGCTGGACCGTGGGTGGGCTCGTCGCCTCGGCTCTCTCTCTCTCTCTCCATTTGTCGCTTTTGTGCTGATTGTCATTGCGCCCGGCTTCATTTTCTTGTGATTAATGTCGTCATTAACTGCAATTAACTTTTTTAGTTGCAATGTCGCGACAAATCTTTGCCGTTTTTCCCTGAACTTTGGTCGCCAACTTGACTGGCATGTTGAGCACTGTCAATTTGTGTCCATCCTCAGTCGATGCCACATCCTCAGGCGGATACGCATCCTCACTGCCACATCCACTTCCAATGGCGGTCATCAGTCATGTGTGTGTGCGTCCAGCGTCCAGCACCGGACAACTTAATAGTTTTTGCCCTAATTATTTGTCAAGCATTCTGCTAATGACCTGTGTTGACTGGGTCAAATTTTCCTCATTTTGGACTTGGCGAATTTCCACACACGAACACAAGTAGCCGTTGGGGCAAGAGTTGCCAAATGGGCAATTGAATAGAAGTCCTCTTATGACACAAGCGCCATTTACACAAAGGATTCCAGAGTTCTATAAGTCGCAAAGGAAAAACTGAAGATTCTTTCATTGCTTTCGTAATTCCCTCAAGAGGCTTTACTCATCAGAAGCTTCATCCAAAGGGTTTCCTTTTCGCACATTTCAGTATATTTCTGCCTTAATTTTAATTGCTCTGATAATTCCATCATTTGGAGATAAAAATTGTGCAGATTGTGCCCCATCTGAACGCTCCTTCACTAGAATTAAAGTTCTTGGAGAGTCAATTTTTCTTCTCTTTGTTTGAGTCCCCCAAGAGGGTCCACAAATCGCAACTGAAAGCTGCACCAGACCAGCCTGGGCTAGAGTATAAAAGTGTCCTGCTAAGTACAAAATAAAAGCACTACGTGTGTGTCCTGCCTGACGTGCACTTGCACGGAGTCATAAACTTCCACGCCAACTTCCACGGGAGACTCTGGAGATTGGGGCATGCGAAATGGCAAATGGCAAATGGGCAATGGGCCATGGTACGTATGTACTTGTTACGTGGACGCACGCTTGCCCCACTTTCAGGCGGCACAATCCAAAATTATGCTACAAATTTTATAATTTCACACCTAAAGCGTGGATGACAGCAACGACAGCAAAAGCTACGGCGACAGCATCATTCAAAACGGAAATGGCTCGTAAAACAACGGCAAACGGCATTCAGAAGTTTTACGCTCTTTCGTTCGTTCGTTCTTCTTCTTTTTCTCTTTGGAATATTTCCGTACTTTTTTTAGTACCTTTACGGGCTGTATTCTGACTTTGACCAGATGCTTGTCAGGCAGAGAAGGTAGGATCCGTATGGGCATAGGGTATACATAACTAAATGTAAATAATTGTGATTGCTTGTTAACCCCAACCCTAATTTTGAGAGCTATCTGGCTGAAAATTTTCAAAGATTTCCAAACCAAATGACTCTGTAATTTAGCTGCCATGATCAGCTGCCAATTCATATAACTTCTATAGGAACTATACCTGCTCGAGGGTATCAACAGTTTCGTTCCAGAAGCTATCCTACCTTTCTATTCTCTTTTTTTTTTGGTGCTACATTTTAGTGCCTTTCCACACACCCCCACTCAACACACACACACACACACGCACTCCGCCACAGATGGGACTGGCTTGCATTTTTGTGTTTTAACTTTCTTACAATAAAGTGATGTTATCTTGTGCTGCTCTCCAGCTACTTTGCGGCTTAGGCAACAGGCGTGTAGGCGTTACCTAAGGGGTGGCTATGGGTGGCTGTTCGGTGTGTGTGTGTGTGTATATGGCTGGGGGGGGTTGGTTGACAGGATCTAGGGGAAATTACTCTGTGCTTTATCGTGCATATAAATCTATTTGCTCAGGTGTTTTTAGCTGCTAATATGTTTGTGATGACTTTATTTTGCGTTTACCGCCAGCTTTGCCTTCATCTGGCTCTCAGCCTCTTTGCACTGCTTTTGCCAGCTTTCTTTCTTTCCTTTATTCTTTCTTTTTTATTCTTTTTTGTTCCCGCAGTTCCATTTTTTTTCCTGGTTTTGGCTTTTTCCCACCTTATTTAGATTGGCTGTGGGGTGGCAGTGGCAGTGGCGGCGGCGGCGGCGGGGGTTTTTTTTGGATTGTGGCGGCAGCTTAGCAGTTTTTTGGTCGCCTCGAGCTCTCTGGCAAAAGTTGTAAAAAGGTTTCTGGCCTGGACCAGATGCGCTGCCGGCTTAGCCCCACGGCCGTTGTATTTTCGGGCATAACTTTCAGGCTTTTTGGGCATTTGCTTTAATAATTTTGCACTGCGCCAATGCTTCGTGCGCGCAATTTGGCTACATACGTGCCATACGAGAGGCTGCTCCTGCTCCGGCTCACCGGCACGAGACTGCAAATTAAAACGAGCCCAGGCATTAAGCTAAATGTTTAAAGCACTTAACCAGCACGCATGCTGTCATCAGTCGGGATGAAATATTCATTGGAGAGAGGCTGTCCCTGGGCGTCGTAGTGGTGGGCCAAGCTTTTAAGCCTTTTTTTAATGCCTTAACTACAACTAGAGAAGGTACTCCACACACACACACACACACACACACATGACACGCACACACACACAATGTTCTGTCGTCGCGACCACACACAACATTTACTCAAGGGATTAACTGCAAAGATCTTAATGCCTCTATTTCGACGGTCTTAAGTAAACTTCCGACAAGGCCCAGAGACCCCGACAAACTAGGAAACCCAACCCAACCCCACCCACCATCCAGGAGGAGTCAAGCAGCTTCTGTTCTTTTACACCCGCCTCTCCTTGGTTTTTGGCTTTTTTATTTGTATTTGTATTTGGCTTCGTGTTTGTTTTGCCCACTGGCAGAACCTCCTTTGGCTCCACCTCTTCTGCTTAGATTCTGGTTCTGATTCCTGTTCCTTCTAGTGCTGCTGCTGCTCCCTGCTCCCTGCTTCCTTCTTCTAAGCCTCAAGCAGCACTTCCGCATCTTTGTTTGTCCTGTCGTTGTGGTTGTTTTGTCCCCGTCAACCCTACATATCCCATCGTACATATCCCCGCCCCGACTTGGACCACATATGCACATTGTCAGGGCCAAGTACCACTAATATTATTTACATTTCGTTAGGTTCTGTTCTGCTCAATAGATAAACACACCCCCCACATAGCCTCCCACCCATCAGCTGCTTTCACACACTGCTCTTCCCCCAACCCCTCCCATGGCTTTCCTTGGGACAGTGCCGGCGGACACAATTACAGCAAATTAAGTATAAAACTTTTCCGGGCATTCTTTTAGCGCCGCTCAATCAGCCAAAACTTTTCCGAATCGGAAAATGGAGAATTATACAATGTTCAAATTGAAAAATCATATCATGACAGGAGGAGGCGGAGGAGGAGCACGAGGAGGTGAAACAACAACAGCATCAGCGAACGGACAGCCAGATGACGCCCAGGGTTCGGCTCTGTCTGTGGGGCGCGTGGGGCTTCACGTGTAATTGAAAAATATAAAGTATCGTGGAAATCTGATTAAAATTACATTTAAATAAAAACAACAACAGCAGCAGCAGCAACGCCGCCACCACCACCAACAGCAAAATGGAACAACAAGGCCAGAACCGCGTACACCGCGATGTAGCGTCCGCCATAAAACTTGAAATTAAAGTTTGTACGTACTCCGGTAAAACGTGAAAAAGGCAAATAAAAAACTCCACAAAACTTTGCAATTGCTTCTCATTGAATTTTTTATCGATAGCAAAGAGAGAAGCAGAGAAAAAGAATCCAGATAAAGGAAAGACAGAGAGAAAAGCAGCGACCAGCGACATCCACATACAATAAACCAGTCGGAGCACACTGTAAATTGAGTCTTTGAGATTTAAACGCTCATCAAAATGAACAAACTAGAACTGGCTTTATCTAGTCGCCAATTTATACAGATCAAGCATCTATATAATTTATGGGGTCTGGGCTGATTCCTTCTGTGCGTTAAGAACATTTTAATCTGTCTTGGAATACCCTAAATTTATTGCGCAGAGGAATACAGCGATCTACGCGTATGACCATAATCGACAGCTATCATGTAGTGTGGAAGTTTCATCGGAAGAAAGGAATCCGCAAGCAAATGCCATAACTGGAGAATGAGAAGGTTACCTGTTCGGCATAGCAGCGCTAGGTTTAGAGGAAGTTTAATATCAATTGGAGAATATGCCAAATCCAAAGCTCAGTGTCCCAAACGATTCAAGGCCCTCTTCAAATGCCACTTTAAACGAAAATCCAATTCCGTGTCTTACCATTTAATAGTTTATAAATAAAGATCGATCTCACGAAGTAGATGGTACGCTTAGAGGCTACTTTTTTGATTCCAGAATGCGCTGTGGGGGTGGTGGTGGTGGTATACATATTAACAGATGTATGTAATGTAAATGAAATGACGAGGTACGAATGGTACGCCCAGTTCAACTGATTTTATTGCGCAGATAGTACTTGATGAGTTGTATGCAGACTTCGGCATCCTCCGCACTGTCATGGCCGGCCTCTGCAGTGGGCACAAGAGTATTAAATAATTCTATATCATACAAATATTCAAAACTCTCACCATTCTCCTGTATAATGCGTTTCAGATTCTCAATGCAGAGGGTCTTCAGAGCACGCTTCTTGGGCGGGCCCATTTTGTGGGGAAATAGCACTGAGGTGTCCACCACAACGTCATGTATAATCTTCAGGGCCTTCAGATCGCTCTCCAGACTATGGCCCACCAGCACAGTCTGGGCATGGAACATCGACATCAGCACGGCCTGCACATCGCGCAGTGTTCGCGTCTCCTTGGCCAGCATGGCCTCTGTGATGCCCGAGTAACTGCAACAAAGGATACAATGCACCCAATTAGTATGCGAAATACCCCCAAGATACCACGCCATACGTTGTGTTGTAGTCCACAATCAGATTGTCCGGCTTGACCAGAGCATCGTACACTGTCCGCCTATTGATATCCACGACGGTTACGCGCGTCAGCTCGATGCCGTGCGTTGTGTAGCACATTTCACAATCCAACGCAAAGATGTCCTTCTTCGTGGGCACCAAGTCTTCGCGCCCTTCGATGGTCTTCACAAAGCAGGTCAATTTATCGGGATCGTAGTAGTCGCTGACGTGGTAGTTGCCGTAGGTGCAGCCGGGAGTGCCGGCTGGCTGCTGACAACAGCGATGCTGATTGTCTGTGAATCCACGGCGGTAGCCCGTGCTCTTTGGGTGATAGTTGCACATGTCGGTGCCCCGACTTTCGTATATGTTCAGATTGAACACTTTGCCGCAGCGGCTGCAGTAGCGCTCCGTCTCGTTGGGGCGACGATTTGGACGGCAGGCGCGTATGACAGCTGTGCCGCGCTTTGGACCAGGCCTTGGGTAGCCGTTCTCCACCAGCTGCTCATCGGTGAGGCGCAGATCGAAGACCATTTCATATGCCTTGACGACGTCCAAGGCATCGAATGGTTCGCCATTGCCTATGGATGCCAGTTTGCTAAGATAAATTCACAAGATTAGCAATCGATTTGGACAGAAGAAAACATGGCAACCTACTCCTTCTTTTCCACACTCCAGGACGTGGTCAGGGCCCGCTTGCCGCCCAGCATCATCTCGTGCGAAACACACTTGTTGGCCGCACTCGGCCGATTGCCAGCCTCGATGGCCTCCTTGCGCAGCTTATTGATCGCCAGCAGGCAGCTGTTCTTGTAGATGGCCGTCGTGTTGCACTTCTTGAATGCGGTCAACTCCTCGACCTGCGCCCGCTCCCAGGCATCGGCCAGCTGTGGATAGATAACGGTGGACTGCTTCACCATCATCTCGTAATACTGCATCCGTATGTTGTATGATATCTTGGAGCTCTGTGGCTCCAACACTGGTGGTTTCTGTGCACTAGCACCGCTGGCTACGGGCGCCGTCTTGTCCAGGGCGACCGTCGGCTGGTGAGCCATGCGACCGGCGCCCTTGAACGACTGCGCAGGTGTAAAAGCGGGCTTCTTTTCGGCCTGCAGCTCCTGGATCTTCTTCTTTGCCCGGGCTATGGCCACAATGTTGGCAACGGGGGCAATGCTGCGAGCTGCAAAGTAAACAGAAATCCAGCTTACTCTGTTGTCAGATATTGAATTCCCAAGTGTTTTGCTTACCAGAACGCACCGGTGGAGTTAGGGCACTTCTTGATATCAGTGGTGTCAGGTTCGATTTGACCTGGGCCTGCCGCAGCCCCTCCTGTGCCACTCGGACACGCTCCTCGGCCTGCCGCAGCTCCTCGGACGCGGCATCGGCACGCAGTTTCTCCTGGCGTCGCAGCTCGGTGCGCCTGTCGAAGATCGCCTGCATGGCATTGCGTATGTGATTGGGCTTTTGCACGGTGGCTGGAAGAGGCGCCCGGCATTTATCCGCATTTTCATGGGCCACACGCCGCTTTTGCAGCGCAGCCGTGGCTGCCTCTGTGAGGGCATCGATGTCCGGTGAGGGCGCCTTCCGTTTCAGTGTGTTCTCGGGCGTTGGCTCCGCGTTGTGCATCTGCGCAAATTGAGTCTCCAGCTGATCGAAGATCATCTCACACTGGCGCACTATTTCCCCCTCTGAGGTGTCCATCTCATAGTCAAAGTCCGATTCAATGTCACTGCACGCATTCGCCTTAGATGTGTTTTTGGCCGTCTCTTTTCCCTTCTGCGGCTCCGACGGCTCGCTGGAGGTTTTGCTGGTGGATGATTTCGACTTGGAGCTGGAACTACGCGCAGCAGAGCTGCTGGAGCTATGATGCCGTTTCGACGAGGACGATGAGGAACTGCTCTTGTGCTTGCTGCTGCTGCTGGAACTTTTCTCATCCCGATGCTTGTCGTTGCTGGACGACTTGTTTCTCGAGGACGATGAGGAGGAAGACTTGTGTCTGGACGAACTGGAACTGGATTTGTGCCTCTCCTTGGATCGATCTTTATCCTTGTGCGATGACTTCCTATCCTTTTCTTTTTCCTTGTCCTTTTCCTTGTCCTTTTCCCTGTCCTTGTCCCTATCACGCTCCCTACTAGACTTGTGTTTGCGTTTGTGGCTCTCGCTGCCTCCGCCCGTTTCTCTTTCGCTCTTTGGCGCGTCATTTAAGTCCCCCTCTGCCAAGACGCCTGCTTTCGGCTCCACCTTATCGTTCACCACCTCCACAGCGGATGGCTCATCAATATCAATCTGCATTTGTTCATCAATTTCATTCTCGAGATCGGCTTCCCAGTCGCCGCTCGCCCCATTTGTGGCAGCCACCTGAGCAGGTACATAGGCGGGAGCACAGCCCGCAGCAGCCTCGGGCTTCTTTTTCGCCGGCGAGGCATTCAATGCCGGCTTGTCTGGATGGTACTCTAGGTTTGCCTTTTTCTTTTTTGGGGCGTACATTGTCATCTCTGGCAGCGGCAGGGTGAGTAGCTTTGGCTGAGCCGGCTTGTACTCCGGCACCGGGTCGGCAGGCGTTGCTGCCTCCACATCATCTGCAAGCCACAGGTCTTAATAGGCAGAAAATTTACAGCCATTTACTCACCTTTTTTGGCGTGCTTAAAGTGACAAAAGGGACGTTTGCAGGCGACCCCATCGATCTCGCTGTCGTAGTAGGGACAGGGAAAGCCCTTAAACAGGCCCGTCGATGGCAACATGCCGGCAGCTGGTTCACCTTTTGTTTTGCAGCGATTAGCGCTGCTCGCGTAAAGCTAGCGTCAGAATTTGGCTTTATTTTCCTCCAACGCTATCTTTTTCGCTCATTTCATCAGTGTGTTGTTTGCAGAATCAGATGTTCGCGCTGCCAGATCGTCGGGTGTTTTGTGCTGGTTTTTTTTTTTGCAAACACAATAATCAATTAAATCAACCCAATCAAAATTGGGTTTATCGGACCAGGGTATAAATTGTATACAAATAAATTTTGCTCTTGAGCAAATTTCAAGCCGTGTTCTCGCATAAACACGAAAACAGAATTTTACAATCTTTTTCTGACAGCTTGGCAGCTCTGTAACAGCTGTTGCGTGTTGAACCCCAGTGGAAAAAAAGAAACGAAACTGATTTATATGTTTGGTTGTTTTAACTTATATTGAATATTCAAAAACTAACCAGCTAACGCAAAACTAACAAATGATTAATTGTGCCAAGTGCACAGTTTATTTGTTAATTTGCGTCGAAGCGTGTCTTGCAAATTCGGCACTGGGCCATTGCTGGCCGCCGCTTGTAAACAAATGTCCAGAGTCGAGTTCAATGATTTTTAAATTTTAATAGTTTACTGACTTAAGTGCGCAATTCTGCATAGATCTCTGAATGAGTGTCGTCTAGGAATTGCATACCATTTGGCAATAATAGAGTTCAGGTACAAATTTCAATTTTTATTTTCATGTGTGTGGGTGTGTGTGTCGGTGTATCCGATTGATTGCACTTCGATTTCGTCTGCGTCGTCTATTGTCTACCATCCAGCCCGATTGTGATTAATTTTTTATTATATATACATAAATATATGTATGTGTGCTTATCTGAGGTAAATGGGGTGCTGCTGGTAGCCTCCCCCGCAGTGGACTTTCTGATAAAGAGTCGACCGGCGAAGAGGCAAACTTCCATAGGCAAACTTGGCTGGCTGGCCAACGTTCAGTCGTACCAAAGCACTCTGACGATTCGGGTGTTACCCAAAGCAAACACTTTCTCCATCACAAAGGGTCCAAAGGTCAGTTTGTGTGGGACATTAGTCAGGGGTTGCATTAACACAGAACAGAACGTCTGGCGGACAAAAAAAAAAGTCTATCGTCTAATCCACCTAAGCTCCGGTTGCACCGGATTCAAATAGCATGAGAATGGACTTTGTACGTCTGTGCAGAATAAAGATAGTCTCTCGCTGCTATGCTCCAATTTTGGTACTTTGGACCCCCGCAAAAGCGTTTTTGTTATCTGGATCATAGGCATATATTTATTTATTTGGGCTGCCACACGCAAAGCGATCCTACCTAACACTCGCATATTGTCCACTCCAGATAAGCAAAGCACTTAACCACTATGGATCGGGCAAGCCTATATTTTATGAGTAAAGATGACAAGAACACTTACGATTTCGATGAGACCCTGCCGCCGCTTCCGCTGCCAGAGCTGCGCGATACCCTGGAGCGGTACTACACCTGCATCCAGCCCTTCGGCACACCTGAAGAGTTGGCCCAGGCGAGGAAGGCCATCGATGAGTTTCAGGACGGAGTGGGCGCCGAGCTGCACGAAAAGCTCAAGCAGCGGGCAGCCACAATGAAGAACTGGCTGGGCACCTGGTGGGAGGACTATGGCTATCACCTGCTGCGCCTGCCCCTGTTGCCCTACCAGCTCATGACGATGGCCGCCCAGCTGGAGATGGTGGGTGTGCCCGAGACACCAGAGTACATGCTGAAGGTAAAAGTCCAACACATTTCTTTTTTTTTTATTTAATTTATAATCTCTTTGCTTTAGAGCTTCTCCCGGATCATATATCACACTCTGGAGTTTTGGGATCTTACCCGCAAGTCGGCCATTAGGCCGCTATCCTCGAACGGAGGCAAGATCAAGTACTCGTCCGCACTGTACAAACGCTTCTTCTCCACATCCCGCGTTCCGGGCGTGGAGCAGGACCACATCGAAAAGCATTTTCTCACCAAGGATGAGGGAAACACGCCCACGCATGTTCTGATTTCCGCCAAGGGCCGTCAGTTTGCCATCAACTGTGTGCACGACGATGACACAATTCTCACTGCACCCGAGATTCTTGTGGCCCTGCAGCGTCTGCGCAGCATCTTGGACTACGAACCAGAAGGTGCAGGAGTGCCGATTCTCACCCATGACGACAGACCCAGTTGGGCCAACAATCGGGCTCGTCTGCTGGAGATCTCCGATGCCAACAGAGAAACCCTGAAACTGGTGGAGGGTGCCAGCATGGGCATCTGCTGGGATGAGAATGCTCCCCAGAGCTACGAGGAGTGCTCCCAATTAGGGCTATATGGAGACACCCATAGCCGGTGGGCGGACCACGCCAGCAGCATCATCGCCTACAAGAATGGCCGCTACAATTGGACGGGGGAGCACAGCTGCTACGATGGCACCGTCAGTGTCAGCTTTGCCACCTTTATGCAGCTGAGCCTGCTGGAGGTGCCAGAGCCCGACTGGACCCTAGCCGACAACACGCAGGTGGTGGAGCTCAAAGAACTCAAGTTCGAGCTGGACGATACACTCAAGAGCGAGATAGCACGCCTGCGAAAGGAGAAAGACGAGCGGGTCAGTAGATTTTGGAGGGGTTTCCATGGAGCTCTATTTGTAACCATTTCCTGTTCTTTAGGGCATTGACATAACAGCGACCTTTACTGTGTTCGATGAGTATGGAAAGGACTTTATGAAGTCCCATAGACTGCATCCGGACTCCTTTATTCAGGTGGTCATGCAGTGGGCCTACCACCAGATGCACGAAGAGTGAGTAGTGGCTGATCATTTCGCCTCGACACATGAAGATAATACGAGTTCCCGTTACCTCTGCAGAATTGCTCCCACCTATGAAACCGCTTTGATGCGACAGTATTACAATGGACGAACGGAGACGCTGCGCTCCTGCACTGGCGCCGTGGCCGAATTCCTTAGAGCTTCCTCTGATTCGCGCGTCAGCGACCTTGCGCTGGCCAAAAGGTTTCGCTCAGCCGTCGACGACCACAAGCGGGCCATGGATGAGGCGCGCAAGGGCAATGGCATCGATAGGCACTTGTTTGGCCTCTGGTGTGCCGCCTATGAAAACAAATTGGACATTCCCGCTTTCTACGATGATCCGCTGTACGCGAAGAGCGGCGGCGGTGGCAATTTTGTGCTCTCCTCCAGCACCCTGGGCTTCACGGCGAACGTGGGCTTTGTGGCACCCATGCTGATCGATGGCTATGGCGTATTCTATTCGATTACCTCTGGAGCGTAAGTTCTTAAGTTATTTTTGACTTAAACAGAAGTTAACTTATGTTTATATTTGACAGTGTCTTCATCAATACCACTGCCTATCGCGACAGCATTAAGACGAGTGCTCGAAAGTTTAATGACATCTTCAAGGCCTCGTTCCGCAGGATAAGCGTTCTGCTGGAGCAGCTGGCTAAGGAGTCCAAGCTGTAAGCCTTAAGGCTTAAGTCGTAGTTTTAAGTGGACAAGAGAATACGTTTCTATAATTAATCTTGACTTTATGCGACAGTTCCAGCACATTAAATGAGTGTTCTTTATCACTGAAAATCATTTAATGAACGTGCTGTACCCTACTGGAACACAAGTGTGTAGTGTAATTCTGTTTAAGGAGCATCGTTCCATCCACTGTCCCATTCCTGTATTAAACTCTTTCCGCGTGTTTCGTGTTAACGTTTATTTCAAATTCAATGTTTCAGTGGTTGGATTAGTTTACGCAAATACATTTTCGCATGGTAATTTAAATTTTCGTTTCACTTGTTTAAAATGCGTCTAATTAAGCGAAGGCGCACGCCCAGCCAACTGGAGAGTGCTCCCATAATATTAATTCATCCTTATTAAACTTTTTTTTACTTATTTTGATACAATAAGCGAGGGGCTGAGGGGGAAGAGGACGCTGCATTTGATGATCCTAGATCCTACATACAAGTTCAATTGAAGCAGTCGACTGACCTGGGCCTGGGTCTCTTGGGGTTAAATATGTTTCGTTTCATTTCGTTTGTTCTACAATATATATGGGAGGGTAAAGTGTGTGTAACTCTTCTCTTAGTGTTCCGTCTAGTACGATTATTTTCGCGTGTGTGCTTAGTGCTTAGTGCTGCTAATTACAAATGGTTTTTAGCCAAATTCTCTTACGTTTCTTTCTACAAAAAATTAAATTCAAGTCACAGACCTGAAGCCAAAACAATATAAAAAAATAAAACCAAAAAAATTTCTACTTGTTGGCAATAGGCAGCAGCCAAACGCTGATGAGCTGAGTTTTGTCTGTGTGGGGGACTGGTGCTTTATATCCGAATTAGTGCTGCTGGCGGTAGTAGCCAATGTGCGGCGGCGGCAGCAGGGCATAGGCGGGCAAAGGAACTGAGTGCCCGGGGGCGTGTCGCCCGCGCCTTTGCTGCTGCTGCTGCTGGTGCTGTTGCAGCTGCTGATGTTGAAGGTTGGCGTACACTCATTCCTGCCCAGCAGCCGGCACGGGCTGAAGGTTCTGTTCGGCTGCCGCCAGTGACGGAAGGATGGGATTGCTATTGGCCACATCCTCCTTGGCACCCGCAGCCGCAGCCTCCCCAGTGGCCGGTGGCTGGAATGCGGGTCGCTGCACGAACATGTTGTCAATGATGTGGTCAATGTTGTCCGCGTGTCCGCCCTCCTCCTTGGTCTGGTTGGCGTTTGGCCCGGCTAGTCCTCCGGGACGCGTCTTGTGCTTCTCGGATGGCGGCAGGATGGGAATCGCATTGGTGGGTCGTCGCTGGGGCAGGGCAGCAGGTCGGCTCGTGGTCTGGACCGGTGGCACAAAGTAGGTTGTGCCCCCGACCGTATTGTAGTTCTGATGGAAGTTCATGGACGGTGGCGCCTGGGCAGCCGCAGCTGGCGTTGGCGCCTGGGCCGGCGGCTGAGGCTGTGGCTGCGTCACCACCGATGTCTGGGCCTGGGCAAAGGCCACGGCTGCCGGGGTGGTGGGCAAGTAGGCGGCACTGGCCGGATTAACGTAAGGGGACGCTGGGGGGACTGACACCGAAACCGGCACCTGCACCGGCACCGGCTCCGCTCCAGTCACATAATAGGGTGCCCCCTGTGCCTGTGGATAGGCTGCCGCTGGCGGGGCATGTTGCTTTGGTGGCGCTGGCACGGCAGCTGCTGCCGGTCCCAGTTGCAGTGTCTGGAGCTGGGCCTGCATCTCTTGCTGCTGATAGGCAAACTGCATCAGGACATGCGGATCCTGTATCATAATCTGTGAGGGCTGCTGTTGCTGCTGCTGTTGAAGATGAAGCTGCTGCTGCAGTTGCTGTTGCTGCTGCTGCTCTGCCAAGTGTTGGGATGCCTCCTGCTGGGAGCGACGGAGACTGGAGTATCGTTTGGGTGCAGTCCTAGGCTCTGGAGCTGCCGGCTGTGCCTGCTGGGTGAGTTGTAGCTGCTGCTGCTGCTGCTGTTGGTTCTGGTTGGCCAGAGAATGCATCTGAACGCTGCCCACATGACTGGGATCGTTGCGCTGCTGCACCTGCTGCAGTCGCTGCGACAGATTAGTGGTCGAAAGCTGTGTCTGAGGCGCCGCCAGTGGAGGCTGTTGCACCTGCTGTGGCGACTGACGCTGCTGCTGCGGCGGCGGCTGTTGCTGGCTCTGCTGTAGAGTTGGCTTGGCCTGTCCGTTTGATCTGGGTGTAGACGGCTTCTGATGCGGACGCTCGTTGCGCTGATCCACCTGATCCTGCTCGCGGTCACGCTCCCCACGCTCTCCACGATCTCCACGCTCCCCACGCTCACGGCGGTCTGGTGGCGGACCACGGTTTGACTTTGGCTTAAACTCCATGGGATTCTGTCGAGCCGGACCGCCATTCACGCGCCCATAGTTGCGGTTCTTTGGCTCACGCTCACGCTCCCTATCGCGGTCACGTTCCCGCTCACGCTCCACTTCCTGGGCTCGTGGGGCGGGATTCGAGCCGCTGGCCCCGCCTGCGCCTCCACCACCACCACCTCCTCCTTGTGGTTTGTCGCCACCGCGCTCTGAGCGGCGATTCTCCTTCTCCTCGCGGAAGGAGGAAGTGCGGGGCCTACGCGGCTTGCGCTCATTCAATGCCGGGAAGTCCTGAGGTCGGGGTGGCTTGCGTTCCTTGTTGCTGGCCTTCAGATACGCCTGCTCGTCCTCCCAGTTGCGCGAGTATTTGCTGGGGCCACGGGTGTAGCGTCTGCGCCGACGGGCACGTGGTGGAGCATCCTCATTGCGGATATCATAGCCATAGGATTGCAGCAGCTCCGCCCGCGACTTGGGGGCCTGATCGGCGGCTTCGAACCGATCGTGGGACCAACGATCGCCACCAGAGGCTGGCTGCCACTGCTTCATGGTCTTGGAGGCCTGCGATATGGTCGGAGGCTGTCCACTGGGCGTGGCACCCGAGGCAGAGACCCCATTGACCTCACCGTTTGACTCTGGCAATGTCTGAGAGCTGCTCTCCGTCTCGAGGACCGGGCCGCCCTCGGTTTCGGCCGTTCGGTCATCGTGCTCATAGAAGGTGCCGCGTTTCGGTATGTACTGGGGATTGCTGCGATCCTCGTCGACTTTCTTCTGCGCCTCGCTGTCGGCCACAGATCTGTCCTGGCAATTGTCGTTGCCGCTGACCGTGCCGCTCTGCCTATCATCCTCGGTGGTCTCGCTGCCCACATCGTCCTCGTCCGTCTCCGAATCCTCCTCGCTGCCGCTCTCGTCGTCGTAGTCCTCGCCACCCTCCAGATCGCTGGCGGTGTCGTACTCAGAGTCATGGGGATGCGAATTGCTCGACGGCTCCTGGTTGGGGGATGTCCCCAATTCTGCTGTGCTGCTGCTACCACCGCCCGCCTCACTGGCATTCGGCGAGGAGACGGGTATATCGGTCGGTGGAGCCGCTGTCATTTTCTCAACTTCGGCCATCGCGAAAAAAAATCTTCGATTTTTTTATACTTTTTCTGGTTCCTTTTCCTCGCTCCAATCAACACGGCTTGCACACAGACACTCACAACTCACGTGAGAATCCCTGACTCTGTCTCAGTGCGATCCTTTGATTTTGTTTAACAATGTATTACGCGGAAAAGTACTAATTTGCCAGTTTTCTCGACAACAACGCAATCAAAAAATAGAAAGTGTCTAGGGTAGAGGTGTCAAACCATCGAGGGCACTATCGATAGTATCGATGTTTTGCTGCTAGCCGCTACTATCGATGGTTTTGCGACTATCATGATAGTATCGAGCTACAGTCGTTGCGCTTTTGATATGTTTGGATTGGCTGCTATAAAATACGAAGACAAATTTGTAAACAAATCGACAGGTGGCATCTAATTTTTACAATGGACAAGTTCCTAAAAGGTTTCAATGGTTTTTTAATAATTATTAGAGCTATCACGATAGTATCGATTGTTTTTTCAAAACATTCGACGTTGATATTCCTCGATATTGATATTCCGTTTAATATTACCAGCTAGCTGGGACTCTCAGCCCTAAACAAATAATTTTATCCGATAGATACATACATTTTTTAAGAGATTGGCAAGTTTTCAGAAGTCCTTTTTATTGGATTATTTACATATTAAGGTTCAAACAAAAACAGCATAAAACGAATTTGTTTTGTGGCGCTGCCAGACTCGTGCAATTCGTAGTTGCTGCGGGCTGCCATACCGTGATATTTTGTGATATGAAATTCGTCAATTTTGATATTCAGTTTAATATTACTAGATTGTTGGCCCTCTCAGCCGTAAACAAATAATTCTATCCCATAGATACATAAATTTCCTTCAGGATTGGTTAGTTTTTAGAACTCTTTTTCATTGGATTGTTTACATATGGTATGGTATTTTTATCGTTATTGTCACGGTCACACTGCTGCGCGCTTAGGAGAAAGACAAAATTTGCAATTAAAATTGTGCTGTTTGGGTATAAGTTATTTATTCGAGGCTTGTCAGAGTACAACTAGAAAATGTCCAAGTTCTTGAGCGTGCCGTTGAAGAAGCCAGCGGAGGTGGACATTGTGAAGCCGCTGAACAATCTCATCCAAAGCACTTACAATGGTGCCTCGGAAGAGGAGAAGACGAAATATTCCGAGGCTGTAAATGAATTTTCGAAACAACGCAATACGGCGATTTGGAAATTCTTTGAGAAATACGAGGCCTCTCTGGAGGTTGTCTATGCGTAAGTACTTTTGTTGGCTATGATTAGGGGTTTTATTGGAGCTTCCGCATGAGTCATGGCACTTTGATAGGAGAGAAAGAGTACACTCGGACACTCGGTGGGGGCCAGGCCACCTGTGTGTGTCTGTGTGCGTGGGGCCAGACGTAAACAAGCTCTGCGGATGACGTCGTCTCTTAATTGTTCTTTGCCTTTCGCTTTTTCTTCCCGTCAGCTATTACGATCAGATCTGCGCTTTGGAGACAAAGATATCTGTCAGCGAATTGCAGATCCCCTTCAAGTGGAAAGATGCCTTCGACAAGGGCTCCATCTTCGGTGGCAAAATCAGCCTCAGTGAGTAGTGACTCATCTCGCAGTTGTGGAATTTCATAATTAACTCTCTTGGCGGTTCGGTCTCGGTTTTGGTTATCTTTTGCAGCTCACACATCGCTGCTGTATGAGAAGGTCTGTGTGCTCTTCAATATTGCCGCACTGCAGAGCAACATTGCCGCCAGCCAGCAGCTGGACAACGATGAGGGTCTCAAGATGGCCATCAAACTGCTGCAGCAGAGTGCTGGTATCTTTCAGTACTTGAAGGGAGCCACGCCCGCGGCAGTGCCATCGGAGCCGACGCCTGACATCAGCCAGGACACGCTCGTGGTGATGCAGGCCCTGATGGTGGCCCAGGCCCAGGAGGTGTTCATCCTTAAGGCCATCAAAGGTAAGCCAGGTTTGACCCCATCCGAGCGGAGTAACAGCCTATAATTTGCTTGCAGATAACATGAACAATCTGATCATAGCGAAGCTATGCTGCCAGGGCGAGGAGTTCTATGCGGATGTGCTGCGAGCGATGCAAAAGGAGTCGGTGCGCAATCTGTGGGAGAAGGAGTGGATACCCACGGTGGCCGGCAAGCAGGCTGGCTTCCATGCCTTGACCCAACTGTACCAGAGTCTCGTCTGCCGGGCGGCCAAGAAAATTGGCGAGGAGATCGCACGGCTGCGCAACGCCATCGATCTGTTCAAGGCGGCCCAGTCGCGCGGAGGCAACGAGACGTACCTGGACGAGTACTTCAGTCGGGCCAAGCGCAACCTGGCCGAGTCCACCAAGGACAACGAGTTCATATACAATGAGATGATACCAGAGCATAGCACGCTCGCCTCCCCGGGCAAAGCGCAGCTGGCCAAGCCTCTGCCCCTTGGCTCGCCCATGGCGTCCAATTTCCGGGACATTTTCACCAACCTGGTGCCCGTGGAACTGCATCGCGCCCTGACCGCTTCCGATATGCGCAAGAACGAGATTGTCAATGTAGAGATCATGAAGCTGCGTGAGTCCACCCAGACGCTGAATGCGGTGCTGGCGAGTCTCAACCTTCCCGCGGCTGTGGAGACAGCCGACAGCAACAACGGACTGCCGCCATCCCTCAAGGAGAAGGCCGTCGAAGTGCGCCAAAAGGGAGGTGTGGAAAATGTCAAGACAATGCTGAAGGAACTGCCTGATCTACTCAATCGCAATCGCGAGATTCTGGACGAAACGGAGCGGCCTGCTTGACGAGGAGCGCGACTCGGACAATCAGCTGCGCGGTCAGTTCAAAGAGCGCTGGACGCGCATCAGCTCTGATAAGCTGACGGAGATGTTCCGCACCAATGCGAAGAAGTATCGCGAGGTCATCAACAATGCCATCGAGGCCGATAAGGTTGTGCGCCAGAAGTTCGAGGCCAATCAGAATGGCATCCAGCTGCTTTCTATGTCCCCGGAGGAGATCCAGCAGTCGCTGCCTTCGGCCAGCGGCAGCGTGGATCCCAACTGTTCCAGCGTGCAGCGCCTCAAACAGCTGATGGAGGATGTGGAGACCATCAAGGCGGAGCGCGATGCCGTCGAATCGGAGCTCAAGTCGGCCACGTTCGACATGAAGAACGAGTTCTTGCTGGCGCTGCAGAAGGATGGGGCTATCGACGAGCCCGCCCTGTCATTGTCGCGCATTGGCCAGGTCCTCAATCCTCTGCAGCAGCAGGTGAGGGAGAGCGTCGACCGGCAGCAATCGCTGGTGGCAGACATTCAGAGCGCCCATGGGGCATTCGTCTCGGAGACGGGCAGCTGTGGCAGCTCGCGCGACACCCTCTACCAGGAGCTGGCCACCGCCTACGACAGCTACATCGAGCTGTCGGGCAATCTGCAGGAGGGCACTAAATTCTACAACGACCTCACCCAGCTGCTGGTCGTATTCCAGAACAAGATCAGCGACTTTGTGTTTGCCCGCAAAACGGAAAAGGAGGAGCTCCTGAAGGACCTCACCACTGCGTCGAGTCGCCAGGCATGCCCGGCCACGCCCTCTCTGCCCTCGCACTATGCCTCCACCTCGGGCAGTGGCAGCGGTACGTACGATACGATACGTTCCCTATCAGAGTTTGATAATGAAACATTTTTATTTTCCATCCGACAGACATTCCATCCAATCCAGCTGGCTCTGCTCCCAGCGTACCGGCTGCGGCAGCTGCTGCCCAGATGCCGTACCCTGCTCAGGTGCATGGCATGCCAGTGCCATATGGCGCCCAGCCAGGTGTGCCATATCCAGCCTATGTGCCGCCACCCATGCCACAGAGCTTCAATCCGTACGCCACACTCCCATATCCTGGTAGTAAGTACTGAGTGCTGAGAATTAGTGCAATTTGTATCCCCGTATCCCTACTTATGTGAATTCCCATTTTCCTTTGCAGATTATCAGTATCCGGGTGGCTATCCGCAGGGACCACCACCCGGCCACTATGGCACCTATCCCGGCAGTTATGCACCCCAACAGCAGGGCGGCTATCCCAACCAGAAGCCTCCAGGCTGGTAAAGAGTCACCTCCAATAATCGCAACCGCAGCCACAACCCTATTTATACCCACACCGTAGTGAAACGGCAATGGCATTTAATGCTCTGTGTTTGGGTTCTGTTCCCGTTCGTTTGCTTGAAATTGTATCATACATGTTGATGGCTTTTTGGATTTTAATCTCATATATGCAACAAATATTATCACGTATCACAATAAACGTTTTTAGTGCTATTACACTTACACGCCGCCGTCGCCCTGCCTCAGTCTCCTGAAGAACTCGCGCTTCATGCCCGCAATGGTGCGCGGGGCACACATGCTGCTGATGAGGAGCTCCAGTGTGGAGCTGATTGGCGCACTCGATGCAGCAACAGTTTCCGTCTCCGCCGCTTGCAGCCGCTTCGAGTTGGATTCCAGCAATAATTTATATTCCTCCTTGGGCATCACCTCCATGGGTCGCACTGTCAGTGGCACTTTTTTGATGAGCTCCCTAAAGTTGGACTGGGTCAGGTAATCGGTTTCCCAAGTCTTCCGTTTGTGCTCCCCGCTCTCGGCACTCTGCACGGCCTGCTGGAACTGGGCAAAGAGTTCGCTGGGCGTCGCGGAGATGTCCTCCAGTTGATTGGGATTCAATAGGTACTGCTTCGTCTGCTCGGTTTCGCCCTTGACAAAGCTCTCGACAATGTGCTTCACCAGAAACTCGTCCAGCGCCAGGTCCATGTCCTCCTTAAGCGGCACCCAGTAGTTGACACTCAGCGACGTCTCCGTCGCCTCCACATAGTGCCACCAGTGACGGGGTACGATGAGAACATCCCCCGCTCGGAGTGTGCACTGGTGGGCCTGATTGCTGTACTCCATTAAGCGCGGCAGCTTGTCCCCCGCAGGGGCATAGAAGTTATCCAGGCAGTATACGCTGGACTCCTCGTAGGGCACCCGCGTGGACTGCAGCGGCGTGTCGGGTGGAAAGAGCAGCCAGGATTTGCTGCCGTACACCTGCACCACAATGTTCACGCCAAAGGTGTCGTAGTGGCAGGGCGTATTGGCTTGCTCCGAGCCCAGCCAGAAGGTGAAATCGTTCTGGTGTTCCGCGAAGCCAAAGCACGAGAAGTCGATGCCTTTCAAGCAGCTCACTGGCACCTCGTGGGCTCGCTTGTACTGATAGGCTGCCCAGTGCGTCTGATCATCCTCCAGGTATCCGTAGTCCCGCAGGAACTTCTGCATGCTCATGTTGACCCTCGTGCGCTTTCGCTCCCATTGCGGCGTGCTGCAGTCCGTCATCGACATGAGCTCAAAAGCCGGCGCACCAGCCGCCTCCTTGTCAAAGCGTTCGCACCAATCGTGCAGCGATCCCTTGAAGCATTCCCAGTCGATCGGGAAATCGTCAATAATCAGAGGCACCCGCGTATTCAAAATTATATCTCTTAATAATTGCATTCTCAAAGGAACATTTTGAACGGAAAAATTGTATGAATATGGGCACACTTGTTTTTTGTATTTTCGGTGGGTCTGGTCACACTTTAACTCTCTACATAATTTCTTCTAGAGATGGCCGATATTCATCCCCATAGCGATAGATTTGAAATCAAAGTTCGCGCCAAGCAATCGGTTTGGTAGCCCTGCCAGGTGGCAAGTAATTCCAGCCGTTACGTTTGAATCAAGCATTTGGATTAAGTCATCTTATTATCTCAAACACAGCGGCAGATGCGCTGCCTTGGACAGGAGTCAAGCTGCTTCCAAACAGGTACGCCATGTAAATACAATTAGCTGAGATGTTAGTTTAATTAGTAAGTATTTCGGAATTACATAATTACAGTCAAGATTGCGTGAAGAACGAGTTCTGCGGATCGGATCAACTTCTGTGTGTGTGTGCCCCACCCCGCACATACTAGATCTTGTTAGAGTCGCATATCGTGCACTCGGTTCGGTTTTGTGTGCTGTGGCTGGGTGCCTGGAATCGGTCGATGCAACAGTTTGAGATAATTATTTTGATATGACAGGCGGAAATGGCGTTAACATGCTGGAACTTCTGGCTCTGACTGCGATTCTACGACTGTGCCAGCGATAGTCAGACACTTGTCCGTGCTCTTGGCTTATGGAATGGCACATTTAGACAAACGAATGTTATCCGACATTTGATTGCGGTAACTGTTATCTGCATTACCGCCTGGTGCCTGGTGGGGGCCAACAAAGCAATTTGCATTGATGATGGCCATAAAAAATCAATGCCACAGGCACACAGCCTCTGTTCTGTCCCTATCCCTGACGCTGGGAACTGGCGACTGGTGACTGGCGACTAGTGACTGGGACTGGAGTCCTGTCCTTTCGACAGGCAGTCATCAGTTGACGGCATTTGTCATAAAAGTGATTTATGTGTGTTTCATTCTCTGCGGCTTCTTGCCCACAAAACTACAAGTCATTAAATCTACTTAAGCCGCGCACTCAATACGACAGAGACAGACCCGACCCTCGCACACGAGTATGTACGAATTCTGATGGGGATACGGGTGAAAAGTTCAACGTACGTGAGTCAGCAGCAGCAGCAGCCAGGCATAAGCCGCAAAAACAATTATGCGCTAAAAAAAAAAGAAACAAAAAACAAAACAACAAAAAATATGGGAAATTAAGTAAAGAGAAGAAAAGCCAAACAACATTATTTATGCGGCAGTTTGAAGGTGTGCGCCATCTCCCATTAAATCTGCGACTTTTTGTCGCTGCTACGATTATTATTCTGGTTACTTATTACGACCTGGCGCTGGGCTTATAAATATGTATGTCGGTACAAATGTATCTGTGTCTGTATTTCGAATCTGCCAAATGAGATATTGCGCATGCGCACGATCGCCTCGCTTCCGTTTCCATTTCGCCCCAGTGCAGATCATTCCCATTGCTATGGGAGAACACGACCAGGCATAAGCCTGGGTATGGCTTATGGCTTATATAATTAGCTGAACCTTTTCAGGCGACTGCTCAAGAGTTCGCTCGTTCTTCGCAGTCGCCCAAAATTTGCCAGACACTTGCCCCACCTTTACGTTTACCTTTGTCAAAGTCAACAAACTGAACAGAGCCCAGACAGCAGACGGCAGACAGCAGACAGCAGACAGTACCGCCTCTTTGTCGCTTCTTTGTCTGATTCAGTTTCAGTGAAATGGAGTGAAGGAGGAGCTAATGCTGATGCTGATGCTGGAGGATGAAGTAGTCAAGACACCTTTAATGCATTTAAAAATCAGTCAATATTTATTTATCAAAACAAAATCGTACATGCACTTAAACCTAGCGTTGATATTTGCCATAATTTATTGCTTTCCGCAGATGCTTAGGCTAAAATGCAGTTCGAAATGGTCCGGTACCCCGTCCACCGGTATCCACGGAACACGGATAAATGTGTGCTGTGGGGGGACGGGTGCCATGGTGCCATCCCGATGCTGTTATTGTATTCTTTGCGTTTATAAAAATAGATTTCACACGCCCAACTGTTGGACAGTAAATGCGGTCGAGTCGAGTCGAGTTGAGTCGAGTATTATGCAAGGATTGCCACTGCAATCCCAGTCGAAGCTGGACGGAAGTGTTCTAAAGTAGAAGTAGAAGTTGGAATAGTGGTGGGCATAGATCTGCCATGGGCTATGGGCTATGGGCTGATTAGATTATGATATGATGTTGTGATAGAACTGCGGCTTGCTCTGGTGCTCCTTGATGACATAGAAGCCCTTGGGCTTGCCATTGCCGGCAAAGTACTTGTGGAAACTCTGCTTGCTGACCGCCTGCGAGGGGGCGTAGTATGTGGGCGATTTCGGTTTAAGGGACTTCTTGTACTTGGACTTGCCGCTGCTGGTGCTGATGGATTTCTCCATGGTCTCATTTTCCCAGGGCTTGCGCCAGGTGGGTATATTCTCGATATCCAGCAGCCGGTTGCGGTCCGACGGCGAGACGTGGGCAAAGTGCGGCTTCTTCTGCAGCGCCTGCTTCAGCACCGGCAGGTTCCAGTGGTAGATGCGACCCGGCCGACCATTCGAGCTGAAGGGAAATGAGACCTGCAATTGAAAAACGCACTGATTAGACAACATTACTCGAGGACTGGACACGCGGCTGGTCTAGAGTCTGTCGTCCCATAAATCAGCACTGGACACGGAGTCCCCGGACTGGCTGGCGTCTATATTAGTCTCAACAGTGATCAGTGGCTGGTGGTTTGGTGGCTGGTGGCTCGGTGGCCGGTGGCTGCTCTGTGGAACTGACTCTAACAAATTGCATTTTTAATTGAGGCTCGGAGTTGGTTAATGGCTTGCATATTAATTTCTGGTTCATGTGGCATCAGTCCAAACCGCCAAGCAGGAGTCGTGAGAGCGTAATAATTTTCGTGCCACTGGTTGCCAGCTCTGGCTCTGGCTCTGCTCTGGCTCTGCCCTGCCTGGATGTTCCTTCCCTGTTTTCTGTCCCACATCCCACTGACATTGACACTTGCCGCATTAATTCTGCACACACAACAAATCCCCACCAGCAGCAACATCACAACCCAAAGCCAATGTATTACAACTGGGAAGGTTGCAAGCGCGCCGCATGCGGCACTTGCTCGACTAAGGGATACCCAGTGGACAGACAGGACAGCCTGACAGCTGAAGGGGAGAACCCAACCGAACAGAACGGAGCCCTCCTCTCTGCCCATGCTATTTATAGGCCTGCCCAAGATACCCATTTTGGGAATAAAAAACAAAACAAAACAAAATGATGTGGCACTGCAACTGGGAGATGGAGTTGGAGCTTGTATGTCGGTCGCACATCATCAGTGGCTCAGCAGCTGAGGTCCAACTTTAGTCTTGGTTGTTTTTTGTTGTATTTTACTTACAAGTATTTTCCTTCTACAACGGTCGTCTCCCATGTCTCCCCATGTCTGTTGCCATCGGCCCAAATGGGTAATCCATTTTCTGCTTCTCTCTTTCGACATCTTCTTTGGTTTCTCGCTCTCTCTCGCTCTCTCTCTTTTGCAATTTGTTTTATGCGCATGCGCGGCCGATGTTTATCACCAGTTGCCCAGAACAGAACCAGAACCAGAGTCAGCGTCAGAGCCAGAGCCGAGAAACCCCCAGCCAGGCAGCCAGCCCATGTGGAGTCCACATTGCGGATGGCCATCCATCGAGCCAGTTCTGGCCAAGAGGGAGCCAAGAGACGCGTGCGTGTGCGAGTGCATTGCTGGCATTGTGTGTGTCTATGGTGTAACCTAATGGAATCCCGTTTACCTTTTTCCCGTTAGCTTTCAACGCCGACGCCTCCGTTGCGGTTGCTGCTGCTGCTGTGGCTGCTGCGGTTTCTGCTGCCTTGCCGGGTGCTTGTGTGGCAGATCCTCTCGAGGCTTCCATCTTGCTGGGTGCGTTGCCTTTTTGGCTGCCGCTGCTGCTGCTGCTGCTGGCCATCGATGGTGCTGCTGCATTCTGTATGGCATTGGGTCCTGCATAGTAGTGCATATTTGGCGGCAATTTGATGATGAACATGTGTGAATCATCGCGCGAGGCATGGCGTCGTGACTCAACGGCCAAACGTTTCCGGTTGTGGCTGTTGGGAGCCTTCACCTTCATGAAGCCCATTTGGCTGCAACACACACACACAAAGAGGGGTCAGCGAGGGAGCGGCAACAATTTCCATGAATATTTTCATTATGCAATTAATGGCTTTAGTGGCGGGGCCACAGCCACAGCCAACAGTGCTTTAATTAAGCCCAAAATAAGAGGCGTGCAACACTTGCATGTGCCCTCTCCGCTCCCCGCTCTCTACTAACTACTCACCCGAGGAGCTTCTTGTTGAGGCCATGTGCGCTTCGGGAGAGCTGCTTCTTCTGCTTCTGCTGCTGCTGCTGCTGATTGGCCCCTGCCACAGTCACTCCTTGCTGCAGTTGCAGTTGGAGCGTCTGCTGGTGTTTGTCCTGCTGCCGCTTGAGCTTGTGCATGTGTGCCACATCCTTGGCCAGCAGTGCGGCAGATGCTCCAACCGAACGACTGCCGCTGCTGCCGTTGCTGCCCTGCGCGACGGCAGCTAGACAAACGAGACACCAGAATCTGCAACAGAAATCAAATGAAATTACTTTTATGGCTGTCGTTTTATACGCTGGCATAGTATTTTTTATGTGCGAAATTCTAGAGGGGATTAGGCTGCATGCGGTTTTGATTGGACCCTGCTGACCAGGCACCCCATACCTGCAGCTCCTGGCTCCCTGCTCCTGCTCCTTCACAGGGTTCAGGGTCAATCAGTCGACAGAGGCGGCAGGCGGCAGGCTTTGACAAGTGGCCCGCACCCGTCAGGCCTTCTTGTTTTTGTTTTATTATTTTAGCTGCGAGGGGCAAAGTGTAACCCAAGAGATGACTTTAAATAGTGAGGGGTCCGCCCTCTTTGAAATTGTACACCTTCGGACGGATGGACACTGCTTGTCCCTGTCCAGTGAGGCGGGTTGGTTGGTTGGTTGGTTGGTTGTCTGGGTTCTCGTTCTGGTTGCTCTTGTGGCAGTGTCAAGTAATGATACCAGCACAGCACAGCACAGCACGGAAGAAAGCGTACAACAAAGCAGATAAAAATGCAAATAAGCACGTACAATTACAGCACACGAGTGCGAGAGAGAGAGAGGGAGAGAGGGAGGAGAGGCGATCATAGACGAAAGACTTGAAACACTGCGGTTGGGAAATGGGAAATGGGAAACCCATGAAGGCGTGAGAGCATTAGATGAAATTCCAAGTTCTAACTATCTCCCAGGGTGTTCCAATCACTGATACGAGGGCTTGAGAGGTATAGTATATCATCGTTTGCTGCACTGAGAGAAAAAGACTGCAACAAGAAACTAGTTAAATAAAATTTAATGGGAAAAATTATTAAACAAAATTGTGGAATATTTATTGCCTACATTTGGAAGTGGAATTCAGAATCAGATTTATCCACAGATTTAAGTATAAGCTTAATTATACTTTAAAATATTCTGCATATTTTGTTCTCAGTGTATGACTGACAGCACTCCTCGGAATGGAATGGCCTAGGGTCAGCGCCTGACAAACTGTTCCCATAGAGACATCGAGAGAGCCGAGCCGAGCCGCTTAAGGGAGATCTTCTCATTGGCTACTTTGTCAAGTGAAATGCTATTGACCGACTAAGCAGTTAGGCCGGGGAGTCTTCTTTTTTTTTAAGTTCTCCCTACCTTTTTTTTAGGGGCCTCTTGGCGGTCTCTGGTCGACACAAATTATAATGGAAATTGGCCAAGTTTTATGCAATAAATGTAACCGAAGGCCACAAGACGTGCATGGCATTCTGAGCCTCGGACTGAGTCTAAGTGCCGTGCCAAGTCGCGCGCTGCACTGCACTGCACTCCACTCCGCTCCACTCCACATGATGCATGCAAAGAGGAGCCTTAGAAGGAGAAGCTGCATAAATTCCAAGTGTGTGTTTGGTGGGGGAGAGGAAAGGGAAGACACACTCACACAAAGGAAGCCATGCCTCTGGGCGGGATTAGAGGAAGGCTGATGGATGGTCGGCTCGGGTCGGATCGGGCCATGCCACAGATGCGATGCGATGCGCCTCTCCACCAATCGGTTTTTGTATGTTTTGTGCATGGATTGCAAATCCAATCGAAAGGCGCTCAAATCAACACGTATTTAGCATCCAGACCCAGACCCAACTCCAACTCCAACCAAACAAAACGAAACAAAAAACACCCGAGGCAGGGACTCCTCAAACTGCGACTCCTGCCACATGGCTATGGCCTTTGTATCCCATCCTCTGTGTGTGTGTGTGTGTCTGTGTTGTGGTTTTTGTGGCCATTTTCATGTTAACTTTGAATTGATAAATTGCAGAATAAGTGAATGCATTTTTGCTGCTGCTGCTGTTGCTGCTGCCGCTGTCGCTTCTGCTGTTGTCCTGCCTCCATACCCATCCTGACTGCAACATATGCGGCATTTTTGAATTATTAATGAATCGCCAAGCACAAAGGAGCCCGCAAGCCATACACACGGGGCAGCAGCAGGAACAACATGGTACGTACCGACCAGGGCCATGGCATGGCCAGCCAAGGGGCGGGGAACGATGCACAGATTGCGTGTTGGATATTTAAAGACAAATTTCAGAAAGGGTTTCGTGTGAAAATTCGACTGGCAAGCGAAGAACCCAAACCCAGTAGGTTGTTCATTACGAATCCATTCCAAATCGGGCATTCATATATGTATCTTTATAGCCACCTAATATCTTATTTTATTTCATTTCATTTTGTTTATATTATTTTTTGTTTGCTCTCAAAATTGCAAAGTTGTCTTCGAGGGCGATACAATGGGACGCAATCTGAATGTGCAAATCGATCTGAAGGTGCTGCTGGCAATGTCTATGGCTGAGGGCAGCCACCATGGCCAGTGGCGGATGCAGTGCGGCAATGTGAGGTGAGTGAATGTGGGGAGGTTAATTCTGTTGCAGCACTCATGCTCCCCCTGCCTCAGATATGCCGTGCACTATGCGCTGCTGAACGGTCTGCTCACAATTCGACACCTACGCAGGCGGCGGAGCTCGCCCAGCCGAAAGAGTCGCTTGGCGAAGCGCTTGCGGCGCATGAAGAAGCTGAAGAAACCAGCTCAGGTGACCCTTGAACATGGCGGCACCCAAACCGTTGAGTCCAGGGTGATGCAGCAGACCAAAGGCAGCCAAACCGCCGATCCGGTGACGAACCAAAGGACCAAGGCCAGTCAAACAGCTGAAACAATGCGGGAGACCAAAGGCAGCCAAACCTCTGAGCCGATATTGAGCCAAGACACCAAAGCCAGTCAAATCCCAGAGTCGCCAAGGATGCAAAGGGCTGAGGCCAGCCAAACCTCCCAAATGGCAATGGGCCAGATGACCAAATGCAGTCAAACGCATCGAATGGAGTACAGAACTGTGGATGTGGACACAATGGACCTCATTCTGGTCTACTCCAGGTATCAGCAGACGCTGGACCCCAAGCGCAAGTCCATCGGCAGCCAGGGGGAGGCTCCAAACTGCAATACCCGATCCACGCAAGTGATCCCCCATACGGGGGACAACGGCAATCAGACCACCACTGAGTTCTGCTGCACGGGCATCCAGACAGTGCGGGAAAACGAGTGCGTGGCCGTGCAGACCACGGCTGATAGCCGATCCGTGCACACCCAGACCCTGGACGATGGGCAGGAAGAGGAAGTGCTACAGCAGCCGCAGCTGGATGCCTTGAACATAATCCATCACGACTTTCAGAGCCTCACTGGCCTCATCGAGAACGAGATGATCCAGAGCATCAACAAGCTGGTGGAGATCACGCTAATGGAGGTGAAGGCGTTACGATTAGCGGCCGATCGGCCCAGAGGCGAGCTAAATAGAGCCGCAACAGATCGGGGATGCACTTCCCCAGGAAAAGGCGGACAAGGCGAAGGCCAAGGGCAAGTCCAAAAGGTATTTAACGACTGTTTACACTTGACTTTAAGCTCCGCCACGGCGAGGCTCCCTCCGACGACACTCATTCAATAACCATAACCATAAAAATTCCAACAATTGCAATCAACCGAATCCATTTCCACCACTCTGCTCTTAGGGCTGCCTCTGGGAAGAAGCATCGCTTTGGTCTCACCTTCACCAAGAGGCATGCAAAAGCCCCACACTGCAACATGCCACGGCACTGGATGACCATCGAGTAGGTGACTCAGAGGCGACACAGCCGAACAAACTAATCCATAGCACTGCCCTCCCCCAGCTGCCAGGAATACAGCACGCAGACCGATGACTTGAGGGAGCTCGAGAGGAAGGTCGCATCCACCCAGACCGAGAAGAAGAAGCGGCGGGGCTGGAGTTGGCATTAGTTGGTATGGAAACTAAAAAGGGAAGCAGGCCACGGACACTGCCGGACCCTACTCCCTACTCCCCACTCCCCACTCCCCACTCCTCAGTGACTTACCCGAGCAGCCAGGCCGCGGCATGTGTCCTGCCCATTGTTGCACTCATGTCTCTCGCTGGGCTTAGCTTCTTCTCCTTTAGTTTTGTTTGTTTGTTTTGGCACTTTTTTGCTCGCAAGTTAAATCAGAGACGACTCCCAATCTGTGTGTGGGGCTGTGGCGCCAAACGGCTGGCCAATGCATCTATGAGAATCGCGTGAGTAACGACTGCAGCTTTGGGACTCAGGCTGCGACTGCCAGGACAGAACCGGGACCGGGACCCGTATGATGTATAGTCAAAGAGTTCGCAAATAAACCCGCAGACACGTCCGCACACGATAAAATCTCGCAAAAGACTGAATGGACGAGGCCGGCCAACGTTGCCGAAGCCACCTCTCCCTGGATGATGTTGGGTATTTCAGCTTTGTGGTGGCTCGTGGCATCTCGTGGCGTCTCGTGGCTCACAGTGACTAAACTTGTTCGGTTAAACCATCTGTGGCAGACGCATTCTCACCTGAATAGCCCCTGAATAATATTTCTACAAACTGCAATCCCCCTTAAAAATGTTCTGCATGAGTGTAAAATGTTAATTAGTGTACAACAAAAAAATTATAAAGTTAACAGGAAAATTCATTTGTTATCTCTTTGGGGTAATAAAATCTTTAAATTAAATTTAATTTCTGATCAGCATTTTTAAGGTTTAAGTCTAAGTTATAATTTTTTAACTTTTTGTGGATTTATCCCCGTGTTTTATTTGTTTATTTTATATAAAATTTAATTCTAGCAAATTAAAATTTAAAATAATTAAATTCTGATGAATCTATAACTACCTCTATGTGTGTATGTATATATTCAAATATTCAATTCTGAGTACTTAAAACTTCGCGTATTTATAGGGCATTCATTTATCGTTGTTTCCATTAGACCTTTTTGGAATTTTCTTTCTTCTTTAGCTTTGGGATTCGTGGAGTGGCTTCGACTTTGACTTCGACTTGGTCTTGAGGAGAGTTCGGCTTTTTGTTTACGTTCCCGTTCTCCCGTTCCGTTCTCCCGCTGCCGTCGGTATTTTGCATACCACAAACAACAACAGCAACAGCAACAAAAGTCACGCTTAACGACTGTGACGTCGTCGCGACTTGGCCTGGCCCAGACCCTCTCCTTCTCCTTCTTCTCCTTCTTCTCCTCCTGCCTGCCTGCCCCACTCTTCTTCTGAGTCAGGATCGGGGCCGGCTTCTAAAAGCCAAACCAAATAATAAACATGCAAGTGCCGCATGGCGTGGCATAGAAAATAGTGGCAGCCGAAAAGTCGGGGAAAACTCGGGGTGTGACTGCCAGAGACATCTTTGACAGGATGGTGGCAGGGGCAGGCGTAGGGGAAAGGGGAAGGTGACCCAGGGACACGGCATGGCATCCACAGGAGTAGCCTCGACCGTCACTTGTTGGCTGATTGATTATTATCCTGGCCATGGGAAACGCCTCCCTCGGATAACAGGGGTTGCAGTTTAATTGAGATTTATTTATGGTACGAGTACATTTTTTGTTTGTTGCGGTCGCAAGACAAAAGAGTTGTGGTCCTCTCATCCAGGTTTCATTCACATTCCCATTCCCATTCCCAAATTCAAGTCTGGTCCCGCTCCCAGGCTCACATCAACAGCCACGTCCATAATAACGAGCAAACAATGCGCTACGTTCCTGGGTTCTGTTCTGGCAATATTTGGACAGTGGGCAATTGAAGAACTCCAATTGTGTTGCTGCTGTTGTTGTTACTGTGCTTGGAATACCCTGCCTAGGGATAGTACGCCTCTATGTAGATATTTGCAACACAGAGAAGGGAAAACCAGTCAGATCATTAATTGATTTCTTAATTTCTCTTTCGGCTATAGATGATTCCAGCAGCAGACTTTTTCAGTTGTAGTTCAATTTCGTGGTTCGAAGCCACTTCCCGTTCAAGGGTATCTCCGGCTGCGGCCCCAAAGCAATCCTTTTTCTCTTGTTATCGGAAATGTTGCTGTTGCTTTGGATGTTGCTGTGCGGTGGCCAGGCACTTCAGCAGGCAGGCAGCAGGCAGACGTACAAAGAGTTGGCCAACGGTTTGGTTTGGGTTGAAAATTGGGCGGCGCGCCGCCTGCTTGTTATTGTCAATTGTTGGCTATGAGTGGCAGTGGCAGTGGCACTGGCAGTGGCAGTGTGCAGTGGCTGCTGTTGTCGGACAAGTTAACAGATTGCAATTGCAGGTGATGTACGAGTATATGTGACTCTGCCGCTGATTGTGTGTGCGTGTGTGTGTGTGGGTGACATTCTAACTGTCCGTTCCATGGCCTGGAATGTGTGTTGTAGTCTACCCCCGAAAAACCAGGTCCTCCATTGCCATCCGTTCCGTTCCGTTCAGTTTCATTGATTTTGGCCTAAGATTTTGAGTTGGAGGCTAAGTGGCATGTTGCAGTCTACTCATACAGCAATTTGTGGCAGGACAGGGGACTGGGACTGGGGCTGCAATCTGGCCTGCTTACTGCTTTAAGTGCCCGAAGAGCCAGCACAATACCAATCCCATTCCCAATCCCAGGCCAAGTCCACGCCCTCCTTCATGTTCAGGTCGTTAAGCCCAATTAGGCAACGTTAGAGTTATGCTTTGGCTTCGTTCTACATATAAACCGTTTCGTTGCTCAACTTTCACTTGAACTCCTGGGACAATGGCTGGCCTGGCCTGACAATGCGCCGCAGACTTTTACAAAAAAACCGAAAAAGAAACAGAAACAGAAACCCAACTAAAATGGCGCAGACAACAAAAGTGCAACAAAAGCAACAGCAAAATGGCGTCTGCTTCCTTCCGGTCTAGCGCCAAATGATTGAGTTGGGACCCACACACACACACACACACACACAGCATCCTTTACCATTCCTCTACCCATTCCCTGGGCTGGCGATGCGGGGGGAAAATCGAATAAAGAGAATTTCGTTTTGCTGCCAGTCGTAGCGACGACTGTTCATAAAGCTGCCATAAAAAAGCACGCCGAAAGCCAATCATTTCCCAGAAGTACCTGACTTGTACTTGCAAATTCTTACAAGAGTCTGCCAATGATTAATGTCAATAGATGCCATGCCAGCAGATGCCTGCAAAGTGCTGAAATCATTCAAGAAAGCTCGAAAGGAGAGAGCCGCGCCACAGAGGAGGGGCTATGTGGGTCGTGAACCTGCACGTACCCCCAACCGAATAGAATTGAGGACAGCAGCAGCATCTGCAGCATCAGCAGCAGCAGCATCTATGATCCGCAAGCGTCGTGTGGGAGCAGAAGTTCAACTGGTGCTGTTGCTGGTCAACTGATCGCTGTGCAGCGGAGGATAACCTCGATAAGTTGAAAATTGCCCAGGCAGACCAGACCGGGCCAGACCCCGTGGAGGCTGCAATTATGGGGCTGCTGGCTGCCATGAGGCAGCAATTTGGTGGGGAGCGAAAATCGGGGCACACCTCCATGGGGCCCACGATAATTAGCAGCGCCGCTCGATCTAATGAGGAATTTGAAAGTGGCAACGCCTGCTAGTTGCTCCCTGCTCCTGCGGCACACCCCCCCACCCGTTGTGATATGACAAATATACTCGTACCGTACCATTCGTCTTTAGCCATTCCACGCATGTCCGTCCAGCAATTTCACCGCTCGCTCTGTCGACGGCGGCGGCGGCGGCGGTGGCGGCCTTTTCCTAAGGTCTCTGTTAGTGCCACGTCATACGCTGGGCACCGCGCATGCGCAACCAATGTGACAGACAGGTGAGTGGGACGCGGCGGTAATCGCGCTTGAGTGACGAACTGGCATCGCCATGCAAAGCCAGGAAAAACCTTTGGCTTGGCTTGGGAAAAGCTCGTCTCGAGGTTTGAGGTCTGTAGCACGCGATTCAAAAACTAATGGACTGCTCCTCCCGGCTACCGCTCGAGGGTCATTGTCATCGCATGCAGAATGCAGACTTTAAGACAGCCATGCGGTTGTCAATTTCGCGTGGCGACTGCAGCGCTGGCAACGGCGGCGAGTCTCTAATTCAATTAACAGTCAACCCGACTTGATGCATTCTCGGCCCCACACACAGCCGCTGAGACACCAAAACAACTGGTGAATTCCTGGCGACGGGCGACTGCAATTTAGGTAACGGCAATTCTGCATTTAAGCCATATTTGGCGGGTTCTGGTAAGTGTCTCCGTCGCCGTCTCCTCCTCCAGTTGCCGTGATTGACAGCCGCAAGAAAACTCGTGGAAATTGAGGTGTTGACGGATTGTCAACCGAAAAGGATTTGGCAGACTAATGCCAAATGCCAACAGTGGAACCTCTCGTGTTGCGAAAATCTCCATCAAGATCACAGCTAGAAGGAGAATAAGAGAAGCCATCGGAAAACTTAGTTATACGAGAAATATCTTTAAAGTTAAATAATATTAAACGATAATATTAAATAATTTTCCATTTAATTGCCTTATTTGAATGAGTAATTTCAATATACATATGATAGTTTAGTTGATATAGTTGATAGTTGATATATTTCAAACTCGACAAATCTGCAATTTCTTTGTGTAGTGGCGCCCTCTATATTGTGAAAATAGGAACGTCACAGGCGCCATCTAGCCGCCAAATTTAACTACCATTGCACCGCGTGTCTTTTTTGCAAATTGCCGGAATAATTATCAATGCATAAACGTATTTTTTTCATGTAAAATTTGAAAATTTTAGTGTACGTGTTTTTTGCAGTATTTTTTTTCTGTTTTTCAAGTAAAATTTTTGTAATTTTCATATGGTATTTTTTCAACATTTTAATAGGGAAAAAACAAAAAAAAATACGCTGTTCTTAAATTTTTACCGTTAAATATTTAATTAATGCCAGCTAAATTAAAAAAAAAATCAAATCAATTTTAAAATGTAATTTTTACTGTAAAACTGTGGAAAAAAAGATTTGTTTACGAAAAAAAAGAAGCTCAACTTTATAAATAGAGGGGTCTTAAGTGGGTTAATGTTATCGACACGGTCACACTGGTTCCATCAAATCGAAAAATTAAAAAAAATTAAGAAAAAAGGGGAAAAAGTTATTAAAAAGCCTCAGAATTGGTGTAAAAATGACGTCGTTGGATCCGGCGCCAAACAAGACATGGGAGTTATCCCTTTACGAGCTGCAGCGCAAGCCGCAGGAGATAATCACGGACAGCACGGAGATTGCAGTTTCCCCCCGCAGCCTGCACAGCGAGCTAATGTGCCCCATTTGTTTGGACATGCTGAAGAAGACAATGACTACCAAGGAGTGCTTGCACCGCTTCTGCTCGGACTGCATTGTGACTGCACTGCGGTCTGGAAATAAGGAGTGCCCAACATGCCGGAAGAAACTCGTATCCAAGCGGTCCCTGCGCGCGGATCCGAACTTCGACTTGCTCATCTCGAAGATCTATCCCAGTCGTGAGGAGTACGAGGCTATTCAGGAGAAGGTGATGGCGAAGTTTAATCAAACACAGTCGCAGCAGGCCTTGGTCAACTCCATCAACGAGGGCATCAAGCTGCAGTCTCAAAATCGACCACAGCGCTTCCGCACCAAGGGCAGCGGTGGAGCCGGTGGAGGAGGAGGAGGAGGCAATGGTAATGCTAATGCTAATGGTGGTAGTGGTGGTGGTGGTGGTGCCGGCGGGGTTGGTGGTAGCGCTGTTGGGACAGGCGCGGGTCGAAATGCCTCTAATCAATTAAATGTCCACGATACAGCGTCCAATGACAGCAACAGCAACACGAACAGCATCGACCGCGACAATCGAGATCCCGGCCACTCTGGAACTTCAGCAACTTCGGCGAACACCAGCACCTCGAATGTGGCGCCTGCCACCTCATCGGCCACTACTGGAGCCAGCACATCCGCGAACCGCATGCAGGTGGACGATGCCTCGAATCCTCCCTCGGTGCGGAGCACACCCTCGCCCGTTCCATCCAATTCAAGCAGTTCCAAGCCCAAGCGTGCCATGTCGGTGCTGACCTCGGAGCGGTCCGAAGAGTCCGAGTCGGACTCTCAGATGGATTGTCGCACAGAGGGTGACTCCAACATCGACACGGAGGGCGAGGGCAATGGCGAACTGGGCATCAATGATGAAATTGAATTGGTCTTCAAGCCGCATCCCACAGAGATGTCTGCGGACAACCAACTGATTAGGGCGCTCAAGGAAAACTGCGTGCGCTACATCAAGACCACGGCCAATGCAACAGTGGATCATCTCAGCAAGTATCTGGCCATGCGCCTCACCCTTGACTTGGGTGCCGATTTGCCGGAAGCGTGCCGCCTGCTCAACTTTTGCATCTATGTCGCTCCCCAGCCACAGCAGTTGGTCATTTTGAATGGCAACCAGACGTTGCATCAGGTTAACGATAAGTTCTGGAAGGTAAGTAGCGTCAAATCAAGCTGTCTGCTTGGCCAAGGGACGCACCTTGCTAATCTACTTCTTTCCTCGTCTTGAATTGCAGGTGAACAAGCCTATGGAAATGTATTACTCGTGGAAGAAAACCTAAGAGGCAGTACTCTAACAGCACTTTAGTATTAAGTCGTTTATTTCTGAACAGGAAATATACATAGTTTTGCAGCAATAGTGCTCAACAGGAATATATAAAGAACTAAACTAAATAAAAAATACATTTACTCATAAGTCAAAACGTTATCGGTTCGTTGTTCTATTTATGATGCGAATGAATGTTATAGCTAGCACTTCTGCAAGTCACAATTGCATTGCTTCTTGTCGCTGACGTTGCGGGACGCGTTTCGGTTCGTTGCACAAGGACTATAAATGTTGGACTTAAGATTAGAGTGGAGATTGTGGAGGGCATAAAGGCACTGCTAACTAGATAGACGACGAGGTTTAGTGCGGTTCTAAAAGGTACCATCTTGACTTTGGTATGTGTATATAGTAGCATGAACACGAAAAGCACCAATTGTAGCTTGTGGATTTCCCAAATATATCATTTCGGAACTAGCCGCATCTTGTCCCGTATGGCGTCCCGGAAATCCCGAAAGTCGCTGCTAGCCTCAATCTCGTTGCGACATTTGCCCTGGATGCGATAAAGGCCGAGACTTATGTCCGAGCGTTGACCGCCAAGCATGCGTTTGGACAGATCCTGCTCCGAGTCATAGGGCAGCCCCAAATCACAGAGTTCGTCCACTTCATCCTGTGTAAAAGTACGTTGCGCCTCCTTTAGAAATTCCGCACACTTTTCGTATATTTCCAAATGCTGTTCCGCCTCGTTCTTGTCGCCGGACCGTCTCAGCTTCATGAAAGTGCGCAAAAGTTTTGTGGCCTCGGCGTCTAGCAGGGTTTCGTGGACACTGTTGGTCAGCGTGTAGATGCGATGCACTTCTTCGACGGTCATGTCACTGCATCCGCAGAAGCACTTGACCAGCCTCACGACCTTTTCCTGTTTGTTTAACCATGATTAATCCAACGATTAATCCATCTATTAATTGCAAATAGTTTTACATAAATACGTACCTTGTAGGAACATGACGCCATATCGAAACACTAATACTCTATATTTCCTGCTGCAGTGCAAAGGGAGGCGAGCCAGCTGTGCTGGGTGAACCGGAAGAAAATGCATATGGGAGCAGCCTTTATTAACCCACTTAAGCCCCCTCGATGTAAGCAGGTGAAAACTTTGAGGTAACCGCGGAAAATAGTAAAATAGTGCATGAGCTCCGTGAAGATCCTGTAAACCTACAAGCAAAATGACCACGTGAAGGATATACCTGAACTACGTTAAAATCGTTCATGTTTCAGATTACTCGTGAGTAAATTAAAATACCCACTGGACGACAATAGGTTAAGCGTTCTCTGCCCATGATCGGAAATCATATTCCCGATTTTGATATTCGTGCTAATATTACCATCTAGCTAGAACTCTGCGCACTTAGCATATAATTTTATCCGATATATGAATCAATTTCCTACAAGATTGACTAATATTAAAGACTTCTATTAATTTGATTGCTTCTATAATTTGGTGTAAACAGAAAAGGTCAACAAAAATAAAGCTTAAAAGGTAAATGGGAATGACATGACTCACTTTCCGCTTGTCAACCGGTAGTAAGGCCATTAGTTTACCCTATTTCCCTTAGTTAATCCTAATATTCGTACTGTTCGTAAATGTTCTTGTACACGAAGTATAATTACATTACACCACATCCTACAATCAGTAAAAAGAAACAGAAGAAATAAAGAAAATTAATTTATTAATTCATATCCTATAAACAGTTAAAAATTTTTTTTTTTTAATTTATGTTTTGTAAAGTTTGAGATCGGAATTGTTCCTACTATACAGTCTTTTATTCTGTAATTCGTGCAAGAAATTGTATATTTTCATTCATTCATGCTTATCTTTTTTCATAATATCCGTTATTTGTTTTTTTTATACTCTGCCACCCCCTGTACCAGCACAAGGATTTTTGATCCAAAAGAAGGTTCTCTTACTCATCGGCGTTCTCCAGCTTATCTTTGTCCATCAACTTCTTTATGGCCTGTAGCCGTTCTGGATTCTCGTGCAATTTTTCCTCCTCTTTAGCTTTGAGCTTAGCTTCCCTATACAACTTGCGCCAATAGGTTTCCTTCCTCTTGTAGCCCTCCATCCATTTTAGCAGCGCCTGTTCCAGGTCTCGCAAAAAGGGGTTACTGATATTGGGAACACTAAAGTCTCGGACGGATTCTTTTACGATTTTATTGAAATTATTCTCAAGCTCCAGATCCGCATCCATGGGAAACACACCAGTCTCGAGCATTTCAAAGCTAAAGGAGAGGAGAAGGGAATGTTTGAAATAACTATCAAGGATAATACTCACGAGGGAAGCAGCTCGCAAAGGTAGCGACGCCGGCGGCCATAACTCTCTTTAATAACATTCTCGTCAAAATGATCGCTTTCACCGGCCAGTTCCTGCTGAATCATTAAGCTGTTAATTGACAGAGTAGAGGTCTTGGTTTCGTAGATTTTAATAAAGTAAATTTCCTCCTCCAGGTCCTCTTCAATGATGTGGGCATAGGTCTCGTGGGAAATAACAATTTGACGGAATTCCTCAGTTACCTCGGTCGGCCAGATGGACCCCAGCGGATGGACATGCGAGAGTGTACCCCTGACGGCCATGGCCGGCATATGGGCAAACGCTTTGGGCAAAAACCTCAGATCGCTGCATGCAATCTCCTCCAAACGTCCATAGTCCACGTAGAACACAGAAACGTGCGTAGCATTTTCCTGCGGTGCGGACACAATGCGAGCCCGCCTTAATCCCCACCGTGAATGGGCGGCACAAATGTATCCAGGACGTAGGAAAAAGCGACCGACTGGATTCTGGTATTGTGACATCATGTACGTGGCTTCCGTTCTGTAAAATTCGCTGTGAATGGATTTGCATTTGTAGTGCACTGCTGGTCGGTAAAGGAGAAGGGACAGCGTACCTAATCTGACAACTCAGTCCGGCCAGATCGTACACATCGTTGCTCTCAGCGAATTGGAACCAAAACTGAAAGGGGCTGTACACCTGAAAAATATGATGTACATCACTTCAAAGAATGCTTCTACCCCATACTTACATTGGTTACAACAATCTTTTTCTTGACCTGGCAGTCAGCGACTTTGTTCATGGGTAAGCGGCGCAACTCCTGGCCCACCGTCATTGCAGACACAGGTTTATCCATCATGAAAACGGCATCCGTCTAAAGAATTCGGGGATAAGTATATACCAACTATATAGGATGAGGCCTTTCACTGACCAAACAGCTCCTCGGTATGGCCTCACGCATCGATAGGCGGTGCAGGTAGAGACTCATCTTTTCGTCGCCATCTAATCCCGAGTCTTCATGTTCAACGGGCGGCTGCTCCTCGTTCATAGAATAAGCAAATGGATTTACCCCCTCATTGCTATCGCTAAGGGTCGAATTAGCGTCACTGTCCTGCTCCTCCTCGGCGTTCAGTTCATCAGTGGCCTTGGCCTTGCCGGACAGCGGATTTGCCTCTATTCCCTGATAGATCATGTGTTTCATGCTATCGGAAATCGCCACATTCTGGTCGCTAATTTCCACGGCACATGCGCGGCCGCCCAGCTGAGGAACGTCTTCGCCGAAAGTGTCCTCCATGTCTGAATCAGGTTCAACGTCGCTTGTGGTTACGTTAACTGTCGATTATTATTATTATTCAATGATTTTGCTACTAAAAAAGGGAGTTCAGCCACAGATTTCACACAAAAATTTACAAGGCCCTGACCTAAGCAATGGCGGCTTTTTGACGCATGCAATGTTTTCCCATTTGCCTCTCAACCTGCAACAGGGGCTTGTCAATGCGACTCTTGGTCGTGAATCTTAGTTTTCTGCAATATTGCAATGTTTTTGCTAGTATTTAATCAATTAATTCAAATAAGATCGTCGATATACTTGCATGTTTAATCGATGCACAGTGTTTAGTTTGAAAAAAGTATCGGTATATTCGTGCGATAAGTGGCACATATCGGCGTTTTATTTAAAAAAAAAATAAAAAAATTATATTTTTCTGTTGAATTTTAATTGTTTCATTGTTATATTTTGCGGTGCATGTTGCACTATTGCATTCGTCTGGGTGCACAAGACGTCAAAAAACTCAATGCGAATCTGCTACCCCGTTTAAACAGGCTTTAATAAAGACCGATACCATGGCTTATAGGATTCAGACTTTATTGAAAACATGCAGGATGTCAAATATAAACGGGAATATATGGTTAACGAATATTGAAATGCAATCGAAACACCTACAACTTTGACTTGAGCGCCTTCATCAGCTTCTCCAACTTGAGGGCCTTCTGGAAATCTCCGCTAATCTTTAGCTTGCCGGTCATGTAGGCCGGTGCAGCCTTTAATTTCCCCGAAAACATGTCGAAAAAGTTGGTGGAGTTCATCGTGAGCGTGGAGTCGGGAGTGGTTGGTGGGGTGCCGGAGCCGCAGGAGCCGGTGCCATTTTTCAAGTCCAAGTACCAAGTTCCCTGCTCAGCGCCGCTAATGTTGAACTGGAAGACGGCCTGCGTCTTGGAGACAATCTCGGGGGATAGAAGAGATTCAATCTTCTGGAAGAGTTGCGGTATTTTACCGCTATCACTGCCTGTAGTGGGAATGGATGCACCAGCTGCAGCGGGAGCTCCAGCTGTTACAGCTTTCGCTCCCTTGGCCTCCACAAAGAAGTCAACCATAAGGTTGTCGGCGTTCTCAGGCACGCAGGCGTAGCTCTTGAGATCCGTAATCCCGGCTGCTTCAAGCACTTCATCATCGACAAAGAACTGACCAGTAAATTGCTTGGGCTCCCTCGACAGAATGGCATAGGCGGCATCAGCCATGATCTGGGGCTTGCGCGACCACTGGGCGGATTCGGCACCAGTCAGCATTTCAATGGCAGCAGTCAGAATGGCAGTGCGGGGCCAGAGAGCGTTCACGGCAATGCCCTCATCTTTGAGCTCCTCCGCCATTCCCAGGACACACATGGACATGCCGTACTTGGCCATCGTGTAGGCCACATGTGGGCCAAACCACTTTGGCAGCATGCTCAGCGGTGGCGAGATGTTGAGTATGTGGGCGTGGTTGCTCTTCTTCAGGTACGGCAGGCACTCCTTGGAAACCAAGAAGGTTCCCCTGGTGTTGATGTTGTGCATTAGGTCGTACCGCTTCATATCTGTGTTGGGTGTGTTGGTCAGGGAGATCGCACTAGCCTGCAAAATGAATAGAAATCGTGACATTATGGGCCTCTGATTGAATAGATTATTGTCACAGCACATACATTATTGACGACAATGTCGATTCCCCCAAATTTGGCCACCGCCTCCTGAATGGCGGTCCTAACCTGGACCTCGTCGCGCACATCAACAATGCAGGGGTGGGCACGTCCGCCGGCTTTCTCGATCTCCTCGGCCGCTGAGTAAATGGTGCCGGGCAGCTTTGGATGCGCCTCGGCTGTCTTGGCCGCCACCACAATGTTGGCACCATCACGCGCCGCCTTCAGGGCAATCTCCTTGCCGATTCCTCTCGAGGCACCCGTAATAAAGAGGGTGCGTCCAGCTAACTTTCCCGTGTTGATCATGTTGTGAGTGTGCCAAAGTTTAAACCGTTCGCTTCGAAAAGTAAATTACACTGTCACCTTTTCACGACGAAAAGCCAGAGAGAAAGTCCAAAGTGCAGTCAGATTTGATCCACAACAGGTCCAACGACCAACAGCAGCGAGCAGCAGCATAAAGGTTCGGGTATAGACAACTTGTTGGTGCTCTGCGCTGGCTTTGAGAAATTTTCCCTAAAAAAGTTGCGTTTACGATAATACATTTTATAGTTGCGGTTCTTAAATGAAATATTTCAATTAACTAAATTGAACTTGAAATTATTCCATTCCATTCCATGATCGTGTCAGGGCATTTTTAAGTGTGAACGAGATAATATTGTATATGGACGTTTTTGGATGTAGGTGATCTGGAGAATCGGGATAAATGTTCGGGTACGACCAAATTGTAGGTGCTTTGCACAGGCAATTTTAGCCGGTTTGGCAGTTCTATATTCGATATTTAGTATGACCATATCCAACTCATGCGATATTGACTTTAAAATGGGCCTTTAGTGGGTTAAGTTTGTTTTTTTTCTGAGCGCTCTGCCGGCGTCGCTGCTGTTTATGTTTCTGTAAAATTTTATAAAACCCGTATTTAAATTAAGACATCTCGTAAAATATACAAATGGCTGCCTCGCGAGCCAGGCGCAACAATGCTGGCAACCGCATAGCCACACTTCTGGACGAGGAAGAGGAGGATGATTTCTACAAAACCACTTACGGCGGTTTCCAGGAGGAAGGAGAGGACCAGGAATATGAGTGAGAGTCGCACCCATGGTCCAACCCGACCGCAATGTAATTTAACATCCTTGTTGCAGACAAAAAGACGAAGAGGACGATGTGGTTGATTCCGACTTCAGTATAGATGAGCAGGATGAGCCGGTATCCGACCAAGAAGAGCCGGCGGAGAAGAAGCGGAAACGAGGCGGCGTCAACACAAAGGCTTACAAGGTGAAATGGCAGCATTTTTATACACTTATGTTCTTTCTAACTGGGCTTTCTCTACAGGAGCCACCACCTGCTGCTGCCAAAAAGGAAACAAAGTCCGTACCGGCACTGCATAAAAAGCGCGGCGGAGGCGGTGTGGTCAAACGTCGAGTGCGGCCGCGCTTTACTGTCCTCGACTCGGGTCGCAAGTCCATACGCACATCGACAGCCATCAAGACACAGGCCACAAAGAAACGCCTCAAGGAACTGGACGATGCACGGAAGCGCAAGAAAAAGAAGGTGCGCGTTGAGGATTACATGCCCACACAAGAAGAACTTCTGGAGGAGGCAAAAATAACCGAAGAGGAGAACATCCTCTCCCTGGGTATGTCTTTAAACTATCCGCTGAAGCTACACTGATTGATTATTTATTTGTAATTGCAGAGAAATTCCAGAAAATGGAACTGGAGAAAAAGAAAACGCGTCCCACCAAGCGCACTTTTAATGGGGCGACTATACGGTACCATTCGCTGACCATGCCAGTGATGCGGAAGCCCACTCGGGGCACAACCCTACCGCATGATCCAAACGATCCAGCCTCAAAGTGTGAGCGCACATTCGTCACCATCGAGAACGACTTCAACGACAAGGTGTACCAATCGATTTGCCGAACCAAGCCGCCGCCCAAACCCACTAGTGGCATCTGCCCCATCACCAGGCTGCCAGCACGCTACTTTGATCCGGTCACACAGCAGCCATACTACAGCATCCAGGCCTTTAAGATACTGCGTGAGGCCTACTACATGCAACTAGAGACGCAGAATGGCAACAGTGAGCAGCCGGATATGGCCAAGTGGCTGGAGTGGCGCAAGCTGGTGAAGGAGAATCGTGTGAAAACAATGTCTGCCGCGGCTACGAAAAAGAACGGAGATGCATAGAACGGCTACCGCGTTTATTTATTAACATTCTAACATCATTTATCGCGTACAAAACGGGGCACAAACGGAGGAAAACAACGATTCGTCTATAAAACTTTAACATCCAAACTACCCTACATATTCGTAAATATAGTAATTATTATTCGAGTACTAATCTATACCAAATTCGTGCTAATTGTGTCTCGGAGAGTCACGCTAGTCACTAGAGTTCGTAGGCCCGGTCGCCGTTCTGTGATTGTTAAATAAGTGTGTCCTCGTCCTGTCCCTCGAATACCATTAAAAGTGAGTGCTGCGATGGGGACCGGCCCAGCGTGAGACCGCCCAGTGAGCCATCCGGCGAGAGCAAGCCCGTCTGCAAGCTATTGTTGTCCCGGTAGCCGGATGTGGAGGATGTCTGCGAGACCGAGTCCCAAGATATCTCACCAAGTGCCTTGGGCTGGGCCTGCGGCGGTTGCTCCTCCTGCGACAGCGATGTAACCTTTCAAATTATTTAGATGTCAGCCTACAGATTAGCATTCGGGATTTGGTTGAATTGGCTTACAATGCTGGGTGGCTCCATGGGCGTCAGTCGGCTGCGCTTTAGCCTGAAGGTCTTGCGGCTGGCTGCCTTCGAGCGCTGCAGACGTGAACGTGTGTGATCTCCGGAGCTATCCTCGGCCGGACTCTCGGGTGACAGCGGTGTGGTCGATGTCTCACCCGAAGAGTGTCGGAACTCCACGGACGAAACGAAGCGCAGCTTTGGCGGCTGGGCCTTGAACGGCGCCTGCTGCAGCGACTGCGAGTGCGACATGTGCGAGGGCAAAGCCGAGGCCGTGCCGGAAGTGCCATGGCCTGAACCACTGGGCGCTGCGCCGACCAGTGTCGGCGCCGATCCTGCCTCTCCATCGCCGCTCTGACTCTCGCTGGTTGTGGTGTGCGGATCTCGGCCCGTTGAGCTGCTGGACAACGACTCGCGTGGCGGGTGGAGTGTCTGCTGGGACAGCGTGTCGCTGGGCGTGCATATGCCGCCGGAGCCGCTGCGCGAATCGATGGGCACAGCGGAGACGTGCGAGTGTGTGGCCTGGCCGGTGGTTGTCCCTGTGAAGATAGATATAAGTGAAGGTCTTTGCTGGGACTTGTGGGCATCTGCCGCACTGGTGGCCGCCGGCGTGTCGCTCTTCTTCTGCTCGGAACTCTCGCGATCTGTGGAGACTGAAACATAAGCGGACGTGTGGAAACTGTCAGCGGCCACCACATAGACTTACCATAGCGCTTCTCCTCCAGCTCGTCGCGCAGGTCGCGCAGCTCCCGGGCCAGCTCCAGCAGCAGGGCGCCCTTCGACTTGATGCCGCCCTGTGGCGGTGTTCCGCGCAGTCGCTCTCTAATGATGAACTGCATGTGTCGCTCGTGATCCCCAATGGGCGGCTGTGAGATCTGCACGAAACGGGAGAAGCTACAATCCGTTCAATCTTCCACATTCCCGCCCCCCCTTACCTTGTGCATGATGAAAGGCAAGAGAACGATGTAGAGTGGGGTGCGGTGGGTGACCACGAACTCCATGAAGCTCCAGAGATCGGGAGCAGCCTCGTTGCGCCTGCCCAGATCCCGCATGACGCGCACAATGCGCGGCCACTCGGTGGACAGGCGGTTCTCGAAGCAGATGCACACGATGCGCAGGGCCAGGAAGGCCGCCTGATAGAGGGAGCCGGAGATGCGCGCGGGACGCTTGGCGTCGCGGCTGCCCGTGAAGGTTAGGGAGCCGGCACGCAGGTCGCCCGTGACTCGATTGATCTGGGACACAGCCTGACCCGTGCGTCCCGCTGGGGGACTCATGGCATTGAGGACGGCGGTGAGCAGGAAGGTTACGTCGGACATCTTCAGCTCGCCCACATCCGAAACGCCGCGTCCCGAACAGACCTTCAGACACAGCGGCATGATCAGATGCATCAGAAATCCTTCGGCCTTTTCCTGCGTGGCAAACTCGGCACTGCCGCCGCATATGTGGACCAGTGAGAAGCAGTCGACGGGGCTGACCACCTGCAGGGCCACCACACGCACCACGGCCGAGCAGAAAAAGGCCGGCGGATTCTGAGACATGAGCGCTGCCCCTGCACTGGAGACGCCCTCGGGAATGCCTGAGCCGGGCTCGTTAACAATCAGGTTCTGCACGGTGCTAATCAGCGTCTTCATCTGCTGCCAGTGCAGCACATACGAGTGCCGGATGATCGTCTCGTGGATGCCCTTCAGCAGGCCGGCGGCCGCCTCCCAGTCCGTGTTCCGCCGTATCGATGGCTTCTTCGATATCTTGAGGAATACCTTGTCGATGCGCCGCAGGATGGTGACCAGGGCATTGCGCAAGGTGTCGTTGGACCACTCCGCCCGAGGCAGCACCGCCTGCATGTAGCGCTGCAGCCCGCGGCAGGCCATCGACTCTGGATCGTAGGGCGACACCTTGAGCAGCGAGTGCGCGATGTCGGCGAGACGTATGTGGCACTTGGCGTCCAGCACCTCGGTGGGCTTCGTGTCGGCAGGCATCTTCTTCGCCAGCTCGGCCAGGCGGGCCGTCGATTTGGTTAGGAAGTCCGCCACAACGGAGAGCAGCACATCGCGTGGCCGCCGATATTCGGTGCGTATCATTTCGGAATCCTCGGCGGAGTCCATCATGTTCTTGGTGCGAGCATCAGACACGTACTTCGGATGCGACTCCTCCTCAAAGTCGAGACCCGGCGAGCAGGGGGGCCCGCGGCTGCAGTTGCGCTGCGAGGAGCCTTTGTGCTCGGGACTGTTGCGATAGGGGCCATTGTAGCTCTTGGCCAGGCCCTCGCAATTGTGCACCATGGTGCGAATGGCCACCGCCAATTGGAGTATGATGTCGCGCTCCGACTTGCCCTGCAGCGGTATGTAGCTGGGCGACTGAATCTGCTGCAGATAGCAGGGCAGAATGGCCTCCAAGATGATCTGAAACAGAATGAAATGAAGATGCAATGGATGGAAGTGGATGGGAAGACTTGAGTGACTCACCAGCATTTGATAGCCTCGAGTGCTCTCCGCGGAGTAGGAGACGACCATCACACAGAGCGTGATGCAGTCCAATACCGTGACATCGTCGTCTTCGTCGTGGTAGCAGAAGTCAATGGCCTTCAGGGGCTTGGGCTCCTTCACCAGCTCAGCAATGTTGAGTGGATCCGGCGAGGGATCCTCCAGGCTGAGCAGCAAGTTGAACAGGCAGCTGGACTGCACCTTGTGCGCCTCGCCGTAGGTGCCGTCCTCGTCCGTATCGAGTATGGCCGAAACGGAGCCGAACATCTGCAGAATGAAGGGCTTGCGGTTGAGCAGGTAGAACTGCTTTACGGCGTACTCGATGGTCGTGGTGATCAGTTTGTTGGTTTGATGCAGCGAGTACACCTGCAGCAGTGTGGGCATGATCATGAAGTAGCCGTTCGTGGAGAAAATGTTCTTAAAGTTGAACGCGGCATTGATGAAGGTGGCCATCACGTAGCGCATTATGCACGAGTCCTCGGCGTGCAGGATGGAGGCGCCGGAGAGCACATTGAGGAAGAGCTGTATGTCCGCCGAGTAGGCAAAGTTGCCAGCCATGGCCTCGAACATGCGGGCTATCAGGCGCACCCACATGAACTTGTGCAGGACATCGAGGCCGAGCAGCACCTTGCCATACTCGCCGCCATGGTGCAGATCCAGGTCCACCTCGAGCGCCTTTCGCGGGAACGAAGGCAGCTTCATCAGCTCCTCGTGCAGGAAGACGACACGCTGCACCACCATGTCCACGTTCTTGAGAATGGCCCAGGTCAGGTGCACCTTGCCGATCTCCACGAACTTCTTGCTCAGCTCCTGCTTCTGCAGTGCCAGAAAGGACTCCTCCGGACGCATCAGCATTAGACGCACCTCCGGATACTGCGACCGCTTGAAGAAGTACAAGTCGCGTATGTACCAATTGGGATTGAGGATTTTGCCTGGCAAAGAACGGCCAAGAAAGAGAGCAAGTTGAAGAACTTCACTCAAGTTAAATGCTAAATGCAAAATGCAAACTTACTGCTCTTGTAGTCCACCAGGCAGTAGTGGCTCGTGTTCTTCTCGTCAATGGGATAGTAGTCGAGGGCCTCCTTCAGCAGCTGGCAGAACAGGGTGTCCTCCTGCACCGGAAACTGCGAGGGTATGTTGTAGTCATCGTCGGCCGGTCCGTGCACCACAATCTTCTTGGCGGCGGGCACATTGGCGGTGAGCAGAATGGAGGCATCGCACTGCTCCTTGCGCAGAATCTGCTTGAGGTCCTTGAACATAATGCCGTGGACGGAGTGCACCACCATCCAGAGCACGGACAGGGCCGATCCCACGAGCTCCTGCTTGAGTTCGTTGGACGAGCGCACATAGAACATGATGTAGCCAATGATGGAGTTGTACAGGGCGAAGGCCGCCTGCTGGGGCAGCCGGGGCACAAAGCGGATGAGGTGTCGCAGCAGCTTGAACATCTGGTCCTGGCGGTCGCGGGTCAGGCGCTCGAACACATAGCGCAGGAACAGGGCCGATTCCTCGACCAGGCACACCCAAATCACCTGGTAGGCAATCTCGTAGACCGCATTGCCATCCGATCCGATGGCAGCGTCGTCCAGACAGCCCACAATCTGCATCACGGACGAGCACAGCACCGAGGGAAAGAGCGAGTGGGAGTGGTGGAGGTGCGAGGACATTCGGGTGCCATCGAGTTCCTCCTGATCCTCGTGATCCTCCAGCTTCTCCATGCCGGGCTCGTGCGAGGCCTGCTGACTGATCGGTATCATGGTGATGAGGAAGCTGTGCCGCTCCGCTCGCTGCTTGTCCCGCTGCTGGCGCAGCGCATTCCGTATGGCCTCCGTCTGCTGCATCTTGCGGCTCTTCGTGGCGGTGACCAGGGAGCGCTGCAAAAGCAAACAATTTAATTATTCAGTGGGATGCATAGGGGATGCCCTCCTGCCGTCTCCTACATAGCCCAGTGTCACTGCAGCCTTCTCACTCACATGTCTGTCCTGGTTGAGCGTCACGTCCATGTCTTTGGTCTGCTGCACGGGCATCCAGGGCGGATCCACCACCGGCAGGCTCTCGATGCCGATTTTGGGCGATGGCAGTGTGAACTCAATGCCGCCCGGTGGCACCTTGAAGGTCACATCGTGCGCATTGTCCTCCATGCGGGGCCACACGTGGAAGCGGCACTTCCACAGCACCAAGTAGCGCTGAATGGCGCCAATGCGTATGTCCGGATCCCTGTGCTTCAGCGCCCGCTGCATGATATCGAAGGCGAAATTCTGCGCCTTCACGGAGCCCATCAGGAATACGGCGGCACTCGAGGTGGCCGTGTCGTGGTTGGTCTCCAGCAGCAGCTCCCAGGCGGCCGGCATGGCCTCGATCACCATCTCCTCGGTGAGGACAACGGCACCCTTCAGCAGGGTGGCCAGTGGAAAGTGGAACAGGTTGCGTATGTGCACCCGTATAAACTTCAGGATCGCTGGCTCCTCCTGCAGCTTCTTTTCCTTCTCCTGGCGGAACGCCTTGGCCAGTTTCTCTGCCATTTCCAGGTCAGGATCATCGCTGATGCTACACGAAACACACAAAAAAGAAATTATGTCGATGCAAACGTGCCTTTGATTGGACGCCCTACCGATCCTTGCGGGACAGGCTGTCCTTGCGCTTGGACGGAGATGTCTGCGTTGAGCTCTGCTCGGACACTTTGCGCGTGGAGCGAGCGCGCGAGCTGTGCGGCTTGCTGGAGCTAATGACAGTCGGCTCCACCGTCGGATGATCTGCATCAAAGGTAAATCCAAATTCTTCGCCATAAACCTGTGGGGGATTTCCACAAAGGATTCACATAATTGCAGTTGGCACAGTCTCTGGTGTATGCCCCAGTCTCACCTTTCTGGTGGCCTTTATCAGCCGTGTGCAGGAGCGCATGTGGCGCTTGTAGCAGAACGGATGGCAGTAGCCCTTGTGGGTGCAGTAGTAATTGTAGCTGGACATCATCTCGATGACTGCCTTCAGCCAGGGCATGTTCTTTGCCGTGTCATCGTTCTCATTGGAGTCGGTGGGCGATTCGGGCTGCTGGTCATCGCTGAGGATACCCGGCGACTCCTCGCCGCCGCTGATCATGCCCTGTTCCGAGGTGTCGCTGCGGTCGGAGAGCGACGATACCTTCCTTCGGGATTGTGAGTTAACTGGAAGGCGGCAGAGCAATGGATTGGCTCTGCATTGGATTGGATCTTCTCTTTGATAGCTACTCACAATCTGTTTCTATTTCCTTGCTGTCCTTTGTGTTGCGACGCAGCTTCAGGGAGCGACGCTTGAAGGATCCGCCCGTGGTGGTGGCTGTGCCGCGGCGCAGCAAAAACGGACGCACTGCAGACGCAGCAGCGGGACGACGTGGTGCTGCCGGACAGTGTCAATTAGTGGGGGCAAAAGGCTGGAGTCTAAACTGATTTGCGTACCTTCTTCTCCCTCCTTGGTTAGGGTGGTGTTGCTGCTGTTCTCGGACTCGTTGTCTGGCTCGTGGAGCACAAAGGAGATCTTCCGCTCCGATTGGCCGGCGCCATCGTTGCCAGCGGCAATGGACTGCAGGCTCTGGGCCGATGTCTGCGAGTGACCCATGGAGCTGAGGGCCATGGACCAGCGACGATTCGCCTCGCGATAGACCTTCTCCCAGGGCGCCGGCTTGTCCCGATGGATCAGCTTCGATGTCCTAGGCAGCATAATGTAGGAGTCGCGCAGAAAGGCCGTTATCTCGAAGAGCAGCACGCAGGCAATCAGCTTGAGCGAGTGCGGACAGTCATTGCCGTGCGGATTCACGGATGTCTCGTCCAGGAAGTCCTCCTCCTCGTCCTGCTGCAGCAGCTCGCGCTGCTTCTCGGGATCGGTTAGACTGGCATTGACCGCCTCGTACTGCAGCCGCTCGGTGAAGAGTATCTCCTCCAGCCGGGCGCCCACTATCTCCGCCCATTGGTGGAACATTTTGCCAGCGGCTCGCTGCAGGATGTGGGTGCGCCGGGCGCTCGTCTGGCTCACCTGCTGCTTCATCTGGTTCACATTGATGTTGGCCCCCGACGCCCGGTAGCTGCCCACGTTCTGCTTCATCCAGGCGGGCCACTGGCCCTTGTTGCACAGATGCACAAAGTGCGCGCACTCCAGCAGAAAAGTGGCACGCGAGATCAGCGGAGCTTGCGGCTAAATTGGACACAGAGATCAGTAGAGTACGGCCGGAGGGAGGGACTGCAATCAACATGGATGACGCTCTTACCAAATCGAGGACGGCAGCCACCAGCTGGGGATCGGGAAACGAGCCGGGCGCACATGTCTCGAGGAGAAAGGAGAGCCGCAGCATGCCCACGCGCACCGGCTCGGTGGGCACCAGCTTGCGTTCCTTGAGTATGACCACCTCGGACTCACGCGGCCCGTCGCACATGTCCGAGGAGCTGCGCCGACTGAAGTCCGCTGTCTCTTCGATGCCGCCCACCTTCTTCTTGCCCTTCACAATGCCGCCGAAACGGTTCAGCCGCCGCTCGACGCGTCGCTTGGCGCGCTGTATGGAACGCCCAATGCCATCGCTCGACCGGCCACGCTGTATCTTCAGCGAGGCGTGCCTCATAAATGTGGAGGATATCTCTGGGTTCAGGGAGCCAATCTCCAGATCAATGGACGATGCCTCCTTGGGCGTGCCGCGAAACCAGCGCACCAAGCCGCTGAGCCGTCCCAACGAATTGCGTTCCGAGCTGGACGTGGAATCGGAGAGCAGCGCCCGCTCACTGTGCCGCGGCGTCAGTGTCGGCCGCACTCCGGTGGTGCGGCGCCGGAAGTTGCTCAACGGCGACTGGCTGGTCTTGTAGTGCTCCTCGCATGTCTCCGTCTCCAGCAGGCTCTGCAATATGGATTTGCGCATTAGTTTTGCACATCAGCGCCCTGGGCCCTCTGACTGCCTACCGCGCAGGCCGATGAGGTGCTCCGCTTCTTCAGCAGCAAACGCCGCTGGGAGCGATTGTCATCGTTCGGGATGCTGTGCGTCACATTCGACTGTGGAATGTGTCTGAAAAGGGAGGGGATAAATCACGCCCGTACTTCTTGCATTTCTGTATATGGATACGGATGCTCACCTTATGACGCGTGTGGTCTGGGCCGTGGGTCCCTTTTTGTGGGGACGCGGTGTGACGGCCAGTATGCCGCTGAGGGCCACCATGCGGAATGGGCCACCGTGGGCACCCTTCACGTAGGTGACCAGCTGCCGGATGTCGCCATATAGGGCAATATTCTCCGGCGACTTCAGATCCTTGCTTGCCTCCACAAAGCGGCTGACCAGCGGCTTGAAGACAGCGCCAACGACCTGGGACTCGGCGCCGCCGCTCATTCCGCCGCTAAAATTTGTCGAATAGCCGCCCTGACCTGGTACACCGCCCAGATCGGTGTTAGCATTTTTATATCCACTCTGACGTTTATGAGCTATTTTCATTTGCATTTTCATTGCATTTTCATTTGCATTTTCATACACACACAACGATATATACAACGAACGTATTGGTGGTGGTAGTGGTGGTGGTGGTGGAGGAGTAAGGAAGGAAGGACAACTCAAAAGCATTAGCAAAAGTCGTTGCATGCAAGAAGAAGGAAGGAAGAAGAGCAAGTGGGCGAAGGCAGGAGGCAGGGGGGCAAGAGTTAAGCCAGGCCAGAGATCAAAGAGCAAACCAAACACAAAGAAGATAAAAAGATAGCTGGGTGGGGGGGTTGGGTTAAAAAAGAACGAGCAGGAGCAGGAGCAGCAAAATGTCCAATACATAACTCAGGAGACTTGTATAGAGTATAGAGTTTTTGATGCAAGTTTTTGGGTCCAAGCCAGCACCGCATTTGCAGCTTAGCTAAGAACTTCGGCTAGCTATTGGTTGCACTTACTCAATGGCGACAGCAGCGAGCTGGGATCCACACAGAAGGCCAGGAAGGCGTGGAAGTAGTCAATCAGCTCGGGCAGCGGCGACGTCTTCACCATCTCCTGCATGTAGCGCTTGGTGCGCTGTCCAGCCTGGCGCAGCATTCGCGACAGAATCTTCTGGCACTGGTTGCGCAGAAAGTCGGCAGGAGGACCGCGAACACCTAAAGGAGGCAGAATAAATGAGCCCCAAATGCTGAAAATGCACCTGGCATTGCTCACCATCATTGCAGCCGTGTGGACAGCCCAGCACCTGGAGTGCGCGTCGTGTGATGCTCATGGATATCTCGTGGGCATGTTCGCCCAGTTTCAGAACGCCCATTTCGATGAGCAGTTCGCAGATGTTGAGACCAGCCTCGAGGACACGCAGAGAGCAGACCAAGGCCGGATCCCGCTTGAACACGTTGCTTATGGCCAGCAGAATGATCTCGTAGTCAATGCCGCCGTCCCGCGTTATGTAGAAGGAGGAGCCGGGCGCCTCGGACTCGTCCACGCCCGTGTAATCGATGTGCGAGTCTGTGTGGGAGCGCAGCATTTGGCCACGATAGCGGGTGGTGGTGCTACCAGCGCCGCCACTCCCATTGCCACCACCATTTCCAGGCATGCCACCGATGCTGCCACCATTGCTCAATGCATCCAGCTGCGAGTCGATGGAGCCCTGTCGACACAAAGTTATAATTATTATTATTATTATGGAGGAGAAGAGGAGAATGTCCTTGGATAAATAGCCAACCTGTCGCTTGATGTAGTCCGGCGATGGTGTGGGCGTGTGCTCTGTCACCGTAATGATGGGATTCCGTGGATAGAAGGCCGTGGAGCGTGGACATGCCACCTGCGAGGGCCTTGGGGCCTTCGGTGGCTCTACGTATCTGTAAAATCTTTCATTTTGTAGGAGACGTGCGAGAAATTGTGTGTGTGGCATTAGTCAAACCAAAGTGCGGCAAGCTTAAGGGTAAACAGAGAGGAAAAGCAGTGGGGGGTTGGGGGTTTGGCTTGGGGGTTTGGTGAGAATAAAGACAGGCAGGCAAAGACAGGTGCCAGAGGCGAGTAGGCAGGCAGGCAGAAGAGGCATAAAATTGGAAGTTGCAGGAGCACTTTAATAGTTACAAATCGGTACACAGTTTGAGAGATCGGAGGGTTAAGCATTATCTGGTTATTGGACGACAACTCACCCGCTATCAAGCAGACAGCTGGTTGATCATAAGAGAAAGTGGTAGTGGTACATAATAAGGTATAGAACATACGAGCAGAGTGAAAGGCATTAGCTGAGGAACACAGAATGAGTCTCTGGAGAGTATGAAAGAAGTGTGTCGGGAGTGTTGTTTCGGTGTTCTGTTCTGGTCTCGTGTCTGGTGTCTGGTATCTGGTGGCCTGTTCCAGGAGTCATTTCTGTTTTTTTTTTTTAGATGGGTTCACGGGGGATCTACGTAGTTACCTGAGACTAGGCATGGACTTGCCCTTGATCAGATTACTGGCTGGCTCGCGACTTATCATGGATGCAGAGCGCGATAGTTTTTTCTCGCCCGTGTCCAGGCTGCGATGATACTCCTAAGTGTGGGAAAGGAAAGCGTAACCATTAGCTGAGTGTAAAAGTAAATGTGCTAAGCAAAACAGACAGAACTATTGGGCTATTAATGGAGGATTTTTAAGCATGGGAGGGGCATGCCAGGCAGGAGAACACTTGTTGAAAGAACAATAATCAAGCTTGACTTGTCTTACTGCTTGTTGCAGTTGCAGTGGTGTCTTGCCATTGGCTGAGTTTGTGTCGAGCCCTACTTTTTCCAAGTTCTTCTCCGATTTCGAGAACATTTTCGTCTCCACAAAGGCCCGCAGATCGGCCATCTTGACGCGTTTCTTCTTCTCGCTACCGCGACGCTCTGAGCTGCTGGGCGCTGTGGCAGTTTCCTCTGCAAAGGAAGGAAGGAAAGAAAATATTCAGAGCAATCGATTTGGGGGTTTAATCTTCACAAGTGGACTTGCCAACAACAGCTGTCACTGTGGGCGCTGATTCTGGTATTTCGATGTAGTCCTTGACCACAGAGCTGCCGGGACTGTCGCGACTGTTGCTGCCCGGGCCCTGATACAGCGATATCTCGATTTGTGGTATGGGCAAGGAGTTGGAACGCTTCCGGGGCTGATTCAAGGTAATGGCCGCCTCCTCACCAATGTCACTCAGACTGCATGAGAACAGAGAAGGAAACATACAGGAGTCTGTGGAAAGGGAGAGCGTCAGTTGGTTATTCCCACCGATTGTATAGGTACTGCAGACTCCAGAAGATGCCCTCCTCCTGCCAGTGCGAGATGAAGAGGCAACGCAGCACTGCCACATCGAGGAAGGTGGCGGCCGAGACATCTGCCTTGACACTCTCGGACTTATCCGAGTCCGTCTCCTTCTCGATGGAGGCACTGCGCTTCTCCTTCATGGATGCACCGCGCATCAGTTCCTGCTGATCAAACTCGAACTTGGTCGAGGGAATTTTATCCTTGTCGCGGGAGTTCATGGACTGACGACTGCCGCGTCTGCTCTGCGACAGCTGCTGCTGGAGCAGGCTGGCATCGGCCTGGCAAAAGAGAATAAAAGTCATGTATTTGGAATCCTTAGCTACAATTCGCTCCTCGCTTCCTCACCGTAAAGAATGAATTATCCATGAGCTGCGGCGCCGATGGCAGCCGAAATATGACGACACGTTCGTCCTCCACGCTGGAAGCCTCCTCGGGAATGGTCTCGGGAAAGGCAAACTCCTTGGGAGAGGATACCCAGGAGCCCTAGAGATGAGAGTTTAAAGGATAGCCCATGCCATTTGGTGTTCCGCTGTGCCTCCTCTTACCTCCTCGTCCTGCCTGCCATAGTCAGAGATGCCGCTCTGCGGTGAGTCGGCCTTGGGGGACATTGCATCGCCACTGAGTGAGTGCTTGCGTGTGGGAAACACATCCGTGGAGCCCTTGGGCGTGGGCGCACAGAGCAGATTGCGGGCCTTCGGCTTAACCGGCGCCGTAAAGCACGGCGCTCCGGGTGCGCGATTGTCCCACATGCCCTGCCACAGCTTGATGCCGTTCTCCAGGCGAAAGTTTTGGAAATCCGATTCCTTCAGGTGGGATATGATGGGTGCGAACAGATACACAAACAGCTGAAACGGTGCAAATAATTAAAATTAGATGGACTTGGGCATCGGGAAGTGAGATATCCACTTACGGCAATCGTGGGCACGGAGAACAGATACTGCTCGATGGGCTTGGACTTGGGCTCCGCGGGAGTCTCGCCCAGACCGAGCTCCTCGCCGCCCTCGTCGTCGGCACACTCCTCGGCCGCATAGAGCAGGATCCACTGCATCGTGTACAGCAGCTTGGTCTCCACGGGCCCAATGGCCTGCATATCCTTAACCCGATTGTAGAGCAGGGCGGCGCAAGCGTGCATGACATGTGGCAGGGCGCCCTGCAGCAGGCGCCAGCGCGGAATGGCACCCAGGGCCTTCGTAAGAGGCGGCGACAGACCGAACTGTATGTTCTGCACGAGCACCTTCTCGAAGGACTGCAAGGGAGTTGTAATCATCCATTAAGACACGCCAGGATGCACTTGCACTTGCGCCTGCACTTACCTTGCAGGCTTCCTTTGACTCCTTAGCATCGGTCGGTTGGGGGGGTGGGGGTAGGTGGACGAGAAGAGATTCATTGTGAGGTGAGACTGGGCAAGACTGGTGTGTGTGGGGGTTAAGCTAGGGCTATCCACAGTACAGCAAATTAAGACAAACGGAACTCTTAAACATAGGCACAAGAAACGCACAACATCTACTCTACAATTGAAAGTAAAACCAAAAACGATAAACGATAAATGGGGCGGGGGTGGGGGGTGGTAGTCAATCCCAATGTACAGAGTTCTGCTACAGGACTGTCATTTAAGTCCCCTTATTCTTCTGTGCATTGGGCTGTACAAGGACATTGGGGTTGGGGTTGTCTGCCAGAGACATTTAATAACTTACATGGTGTCCCGGTGCATGTTGACAAAACTACATTCAGATTCAGATTCAGACAAATTGCGAAAGATTTTACAATGTTAATTTGTACAGTTGGTTGTTGTTGTTATTGTTATTGTTGTGGATTGTAGTTGGTTTTGTTGTTGTGGATAAAAGCACATATATAAATATACATATTAAAGATGTACACACACACAAGTACGAGCACGGAAAATGTTTCTTTGCAGGCTTAGATTTAGTTAGATAGATAGCTTAAAAAAAGAAACATTTCCTGTGCCTGTGCGTACGAGTATATGTATGTATTGTACACATATTGATAGATGGAAAGGAAGGACTGTTCTTGTTGTTGTTTGGGTTTGTGGCAGAAGGTGGTCGTGTTAGTATCTCATATATATGTAGTGGCAATAGGGAAATAGTTATATCGAATGCAGGAAACAATAAAAATACATCAAACATCAATGTCAAGTTTTAAACGTTTATCAATTTTTGTTTCCTTGAATTTAGCTGGGAAAATAAATCAAAATAAATGAGAGAACATCGAATAAGGTACGAGCTTATACTCGTCTCGTTTCTGGTCTCGGATTTGTGATGCCAATTATGTTCTTGGGTTTTGGGTTATGTTTTACACCGTCCATCGTCCTTACAACAAACACGCATAGCGAATGTACAGCACAGTTTTCAGTATAACTTTATCGGGGGGCCCTTTGCCCCTTTGCCCCTTTGTCGATCATGTGGCCTCTCCTCTCACCGAGCTGGCTGAACATTTGACCCTTGCCTTTGCCTCGACTGGCACACCCCACACTCACCAGGCAGGTGGACTCGTGCAGCTTGCCGAGCTTTGGCCGGATGAAGGGCGCTATTTGGCGCCACAGGAATGTCTGGACGGACACCGGCAAGCCCAGGTCCTGCAGGCCATCGTCCTGGTCAAAGTCAAAGTCATCGTTGTTGTTGTTCGCCGCATGACTGTTGTTGTTCGTCTGCAGGTTGTTGTTGTTGGTTGTGGTTGGGGCTGTTGCCGTTGCCGTTGCGCCGGCATTGGTGGTCACCATGGTGGTGGTGGCCCGGCTGGAATGGCACAAGGACACAACGATACACAAATCAATTGGCATGCAATGCAACAGCTGGCGACTGCCCATTCATGAAAATGTTCCAGCAGCAGCAGCAGCGGCGGCAGGGGAAAAACGCAACAGGTATTTGCGTGCGCAGGCTCGTCTGGGTACGAGTACGAATACGAATACGAGTAGGTCAGTGCCACAGTGCCACCCTCCCCAATCTACACGCAAACCCAAACCCATACCCCTATTCCTCTCTAGTGTTGCAGAGATTTCAGCTGGTCCTGGGACGCTGCGCAGAACGCAGACTCCGCAGCGTCGTCGGCGGCGGCGAGAACGAGGCGACTGGGTTATAGATACAGAATTGGGTTTCTGGTATACATGCTAATTTGGGGCAAAAATTTTCACAGACTTATATAACGCACGAGATGATGGCTGAAAATTGCGGATTTTCCCATTTTAATTGACGCCCCAACGGCAATTGCTTAGCACTTGGCACACACTCAAATCAAACGATGTCCTTAATGCCAACATTTGGCTTGATTGGGCGCCGCACCCACGATACAACAGGCAAATGGAACGGCAAAGGAGCAACCGAGAGGGCTTGGCCCTTGGACGTTAACTGTTAACTAATTGCAAACCATTTTTATGGATTGCTTCCGAGCATTGTTTATCTTTAACCAGCACTTTTCCGACTTTTGATTTCAATTTGCCCCTCTTTGAGTCTGCAGTTAGGAGTTTTCAGAGTTTTTCCATTGTTCTTACCTTGATTTACGCGTGGCCAGTTTCGATAACGTTTACGGCTGGAGCGTTCGGATGCAACTGAGACGAGCGTCGTTAACTGACGAGGACTCTGGGCCCCCGTCGTTGCCAGTGCCGACAGCAGCAGTGGCAGGAGCAGCAGCAGAAGAAGAGGCAGCAGTGCGTATACAGGATACCACCCACCCGGACTCCATGCTATGCGCATATACCCGCACATACAAGGGAATGCCGAAAAGGGCTGCCACCCCCCCCGCATAGAGGGTGCCTTTGCGGGGGATGCCACTTGTGGGAGACAGCCCTTCGAGTGCGACACCCTGTTCGTTTTGGCACACTTGTCGATGATAACAAACGTCTGGGGGGTGGATATTGCGTATACGTGGTGTCGTCCGACCAGACACTCATTTATGTCGATTTATGTGCGGCTATCATTAAATGGCATTGCCATTGTGTTGCCAGCCCCAGGCTGCCTTCGAGGGTGCGTCAGTCTACAGCTCTATTGAACTTAAGTGGGAGTTGAAGTGCTGGTCGAAATGGGATACAGACAAAAAGGCACACACAGGCAAAAGATATTTCATTTCGATACGATGGGAGGCTCATACTTTAGTTTAGTTTCTTAGCGTAGTTTTCCCTGTCATTGAATATCATCTGAATCCTACTTGGTCTAGCATCCCCAGGGGGGTAATGGGTTGGATGATTTATCAATGAATTGCGCACTTTCATCTGCGCAGGAATGCGGATAACAGCTGGTGGATAAGGGACTCTTTGGTCCAAATTTGAATGCACCAATTACTGCCACAGGTGGCTCCAAGGAGTACAAACACAAACAAAGCCAGAGAGGCTGCGCGAGCCAAAAGCCGAGCCGAAGCATCAATAGAAAGAGAGGCAGAAAGCCAGACAAACAGAGAGAGAGATGGAGCGAGTGGGAGGCAATGGTGGGAGATGGCCAAAAGTTGGCCAACAGCTGAGCCCCAGAACTGGGTCAAAGAAGGGCCCGTCTCAAAGCAACGGGGATCGAATGTCAAGGACAAGGACATGGCTAGCGCTAAAAGAAAAGTCATGCCAATGGCCGGTATAGCATTAGATGGCTTTAATTGCTCTTGTCTTGCCAGATTCTGAGCCTTTGTACCAGGCTGTGGCCGGGGTTCTACTACGAGTATGTGCCCCGTTTTGTGATTATGTACTTGGGCTACCCACGCAAACAATTCCGAACGAATACGGAATACGGGTAGTTGTTGCTGTGCATATTTGCTCTGAATACATTTTGTGTATCTGTGTCATAGTTTATATAAATAGCGCGCATTAAACGCGGTGCGGAGACGCTGGGACTGCCGACTGCTGCCCCGAGAGAGGGGGGCCAGCAAGGCAAGGCAAGGCGCCTTCTATGTAGATGAGAGTCCCAGCCCCAGCCCCAGCCGCAGCCCCAGCATCAGCGCCAACGAATGAGAGCAAGTGGGAGCAAGACAGCTGGCATAGTGGGAAACATTTTGGAAAATGTATAAATATTGAAAAAGACTTTCAGGTGTGCTGGGACCGACATAGCCAGAAGCAGAAGGAATCGGCCATTTAACACCCCGACCGACTGACAAAACATTTTCAAATGATAACACGCAGAAAAGACCTAAGGAATTGCTCCAATGTGGAAAATATACGTTTCGGTGCTTTGCCAAAAAGACGATCAGGGTCGATGTATAAAGTGTATAAATATGTACATGTATATGGGATAGATACACAAGACATGTGTACATGTGTAGATCCTCTCATGCTTCCCCCCCACCCACAGATGCGGACGTCCGTCCGGGGTGCTCGTCCACTAATCTATTGCGCAGCGTATCCCTTCCTACATCTCGCAGCGTACATACATAAATATGTTGCCCAAAATATTATCTGCAAAATCATCTGTAACATCGAATGATATTCAACACTATCCCATGGCTGGGAATGCCACAAACGATTATTATTTTGCCTTCACGAACGAAACAACAACTAAATTCAACGAACAACAAAAAAATACAAATTCTTAAAAATAGCCCGTTTATAGAGAGCACAACAAACAGCTCCATGGGAGAGCCCCAATATGCATATATATGTATGTATATGCACGACTATAGTGGTCGCTGCTGGGAGAGTGAAAGAGCATTGGCGGAGGGCATTAGAAAAAGTTCTCAAGATGAAAGTAAATTCTTGCCATCCTACAGCCATCCATCCACACAGACATCCACATAGGTCTGCTCTATTGCTATGGCTATGGCTATGTGTATGGGTGTGTAGGAAAAGAGAATTTCGTCATTTTGTTTCGCTGTGTCCATGCGTGCATCTGTGTATGGGTGTGTGCATCCATGTGTGTGTGCTGCTTGGCTATCACCTCAGAATTACCTTGCCGTACGGCCGCTGACGAATAACGTTCAGTCGAGACCGAGCTCATCCGCGATACAGTTGCTTTTCGCATCCAACAGACAAAATGGTGAGTGCATATATCTGGCAAAAGACTCTGCACATACCATCAGAGATAGAAGATAGAAGAATATTAAATGGAAAATTCCCAGCAACAACTAATGCAAAATTCTTCAATTTGTATCCTCTTCCACTCCATTGACAGGCTGATGTTCCCAAGCGTGAAGTTGAAAGTAAGTTGAACCGCACAGCGAAAAGAAAAGGATTATCTTTAACCTCAAACCGCAATCCATCAAAAGTTAAACCAAAAAGTTATTAAATCACAAGGGGAATCGGAATCGGGCACGGAACCCACAGAAAGGATTAAAAGCCATCTAAAATGCAAATATGAAGCAATCACTCGGAAAACACTCCTCCTGTTTCTCCTGTGATCTCTATGTACTATTTATTCGAAAATTGATTGCATAATGTGCGCGTGTGAGATCGGGGATACACATTATATATGTAGATACAACAACAAAAAGTACACAATACAAATCAGTGAATATATTTCGTAATCACTTGGAATATATATATCATATGTATATATATATATACGTGCTGCGGAAAATTTTCATTCAGGAATTTCTATATGCATCGTCTGTGCTATTTTCATCGTCGTCCCGATCGACACTTGACCGATGAACCAGACAAGACAGAAATCGGAAGAGCAGAACAGCAGAATGTTGCCAACAGCGAAAGAAAACCAAAATCCGATCGCGAAAATCTAGTGCAAAGTTATGTTTTAAAAGAAAATACAATGGAAAAAATCGAGCGTGTGCATGTGTGTGTGTGTGTGTGTGTATGTTCGGGATCCCGAAGGCGTATAGCGCTGCTCTGCTCGTTTAGAGATCTAATTTTGGCCAAGTTATTTCTTGATGTTTATTTTAAAACGTTTAAAACGCACAAAGAGAGCGAGAAAGAGAGGAGACCAAGCTAGCTAGAAGTGCGTGTGTGTGTGTGTGTGTATGTATGCACTCATACATACATATTCATAGACGATGGCGAAGGCGTTCGTTCGGTTCGGGTGTCGGATTACGTATACGTAGTGTGTTCTTCGTGTTGGCAATGCTCCCAGAAACACACACATACACACACACACCCACTACGTGTATAGGCAGTAACTAATGCTCTCGGCCATGTCAAAGATTTTCATGATGACCAAAAATGTGCGTACCAGAAATTTCAGGGTTACCACATCGGCCACGTTGACCCCATTAGCAAGGAGTGTCGTCGTTATACCCAGCCCTAAACTATTTTTAAAACAACCAATCAATCAATCAAGCAATCAACTGAATAATAATAATTCCATTTTGATGAGATTTGCGTTTGGGTTTGCCTTCGATTACGGTGATGATGATGATGATGATGTGTGCTAATGAAATGTTTGTCTTGTGCAGATGTCGAATTCGTGTTCGAAGTCATGGGTTCCGCCAACGAGGGCATTGATGCCGTCGATCTAGGCGATGCTCTGCGTGCCCTGAACTTGAACCCCACCTTGTCTCTGATCGAGAAAATGGGTGGCACCAAGAAGCGCAACGAGAAGAAGATCAAGATGGACGAATTCCTGCCCATTTACTCACAGGTCAAGAAGGAGAAGGAGCAGGGCTGCTACGAGGACTTCATTGAGTGCTTGAAGCTCTACGACAAGGAGGAGAACGGCACCATGATGCTCGCTGAGCTGCAGCACGCCCTGCTGGCGCTTGGTGAGTAGCTGCTAAGACACGAGCACCCCTCCCAGGACACCAACTAAATCGCACTTCCCCTTTGGAACAATTAGGTGAGAGCTTGGACGATGAACAGGTTGAGGCTCTGTTCGCTGACTGCATGGATCCCGAGGACGATGAGGGCTTCATCCCCTACTCCCGTAAGTATTTGTGCAGCAATCCCCATTCTGGCTGAGGCCCCTGTGCCAACGCCCAAGTCCCAAGGTCAATGTGTCACTCATTGTTAATGTGAATCGTAAATGTTATTTGTATTTTCCACATGCAACTCGTTGTCCCAACGCACAAACCACTCTCACTCTTGCAACCACAACGCACAATGCACCATGCACCATGCACCATGCACCATGCGACACAATGTACCACCTGAAACCCCGACAAATGTGTTCTCTGTATGCGTGTCCATGTTTCCATGTCCACAACCACAACCACAAAACCAATATTCCCCGAATGGCATCCGTGTTTGCGTGTCCTGTTTCTCCCGTGAATCGACGATCCGATCCGATCCGCACAGAGTTCATCCAGCGCCTGATGAGCGATCCCATCGTCTTCGACTAAACAGTAAGTAGTGAATGTAGTATTGGTCTGTCCACTGTCCACTGTTCACCCGATGTCTCGATGTCTCGACGCCTCGATGTCATGGACGTGCACACGCAATTGATATTATCGATGAGATCCACTGCTAATCCACGATCTTCTCTTCTCTCGCCCCCCCCCACAGCATTCCTCGCCAGAATGTGTGAAAGACCAGATATGTTGAAGTGAATATGAAATGAATGAAATGAGTTGTTGAGCCCAACATCCGATCAGCAACAACAACAACAACAACACCAACAACAACTGAAACAACACCAACAGATTTATAGCAACAACCATTCTCCATAGATGTTATATTCATCGCTAACTCTCTCTATCTCTCTCTCGTATATTATTTTAATTAAATTTTACTTCTGCTACAACAACAACTGCAATTGAACTTCAAGATAATATTATTTTTTAAAAAATAAAAAAAATTTAAATTATAAAATAACGAAAAAAAAAAACTGAAAAAAATATTAAGTTTCTGTGCACATTATTTTGTTAGCTCCCAGACAATAGATAAATATTATTCCCTATGAGCCGCAAATAAACCAAATAGCAAATGCAATAATGTTTAGGAAAATGCAAACTGCAACAAAGCGATGCAGCAGCTACCCCCCTGCCACCACGCTGCCATCCTGAGGGTACCACTTCAGAGTTTACCACAGTGAATGTTTGCAAGTGAATTAAGTTGAATTTAAATCTAATTAAATAAACACTAAGAATAGTTTGTGCAGCCCCAAACCAAAAGGGCCATGCACAACGATAATTAATTCAATTCCTTATGGAAATAGCGGACTAAGAGGGCACAGTGCAACAAAATGGACTCTGGCAGAGACATCGATGGCAAGAGAGATAAAATTAGTGTTTGTATTACTCCGTCTCCAGTTACATATGTACAGCAGTCGAAGAGCTAAGACAAAACCACACAATCTGGCCTGCACGGAGAAAAATTGTTGATATATTCAACTGCAAGCCAACTTATTAAATTTAAATTAAATTCACATTTAAGTTATTAAAAAAGCTCGTATTTAAAATGAACACGGGCGTCAAATGAACTTTACTTACACGGGTGTCATTTATATGTACATATGTATATCTACAGTAAATATACATTGCATGTTATAACATTACAATGTTATGTTAGCGCGTGACATTAACATTAAAGCTATCTGAAAGCTCCCTCCGCTCTGTTACTGACATTTTTCGCTCTCAATTCGTGGTGGGTTTTCAAAATTTGCTCTCTTTTCAGAGGTGAAGAGAGCGTTTTCGTGGTGACTTTCCCCTCATTTTCGTGGTGTGAGAAACATGTTTCTTATGTGAACGGGAAACCGTCGATAGTAGAGGCTAGCAGTAAAATATCGATACTATCGATAGTGCCCTCGATGGTTTGACAGCTCTACCAAGCGAAAGACACAAAACAGTCAACGTCTATCTGTAGCAACATTTTTGAACCAAGCAAAAGACGCAAAACAGTCAACGTGCGGTGTGCTGTGCTGTGCTGTGCTTCGCCTCTCAATTTTGTCCTCCCAGCTAAAATTCAAATAAATTTGCAAAGTGCCAGTGCCAGTGCCAGTCGAAATACGAGTATATAATATATTTTATTCTATATAGTGCAATCTCTGTGAGCGATTTTCAGTGAGGTTTGCTACCCTCGAGGCTGCAATAAGAAACGAAGCATTCCGACAACAGGAGGAAAAGTGCACGGTGCAAAAGTGAAATACTCAAAGTGAAATCTCAAAGATACACACGAAAATCGCCCACAAAGCAAGAGTGGAAAGTCCTTTCCTGCGTGTGAGTGCAGCCACCGACCGACAAGGAGGCATACACAGATACAGATACATACATATACATACAAATATTAAGTGAAAACATACACACAGATACACACACACAACCAGACAAACACTCGGCTAACTTTCAATATGGCGGATGTCATGGAGAAAAGCTCTGTGCTGGATGCTCAGCCTCCATCTCTGCCGCTCCAGCAGCAGCAGCAGCAGCTGCAACAGGAAGCAGCACCACCAATACAACCTTCAGCACCCCCACAACAGCAGCAGCAGCAGCAACAACAACAACAGCAACAACAGAAACCAGAGCCATCCAAGCAGGTGCCTGCAACGGCCCCAGAGCGCGCTAATCAGGAGCAGAAAGGTGAGCACCCCGGACATGGACACGGACACGGACAGGGACTTTGCACAGAGAAGTGACTTCACACCGCATTACGCATACGCCGTGTTTGTCTTAGAAAATCAATTGGGCAAAGTTCACGGAGAAAAGGGGCACGGCCCGGCATTCGAGTTGCATATCGGATACACGTGTATCTCTTAATTAAAGGGTATCGTGTGTGTGTGTGCCGGCACTCCCCAGGACATTGATGGCTACGATTATGTCAGGGCAACATGCACCTCCGGCTCGTGTCATGTTCTCACGTAGGAAATTATGCAAATAGATTTTCCAGGTTTGGTTTTTTGTTTTTTGTGTGATCTGTTTGTTCAGCCACGCAGCCCGCAGCCACGCAAGGTTGGGCTGGATGGTGGGTTATTAAGCCTGTCTGAAGAGGGCTCAGAGGCTCAGTCTCAGGCCGCCAGGATGTTGAATGCTTCATTGTTGCGGGCTTGGGCATGGCTGTGACTCTCTTAAGTCGGTTTAACGACCTGCAACTGTGACGAGCCAAACGACCCACCCACATGGTGGCTGAGTGAAGCTTTTAATTGTGCCTAATGCCCCGGTGCCTGGTGCCTGCTGCCTCTTACCCTTAGCTCCCCTTAGTCCAGCGTTGTGTAGGTATCCATCAGATATAGATATAGATACAGATACAGCCACAGCCGACTGCGATAAAAGTTATCAGCCCAGCCATATGAGCTCGTGCTGCTGCTGCTGCTGTTGTGGTTGCTCTGCATTTGACCTCGTTTTGCATCAAGCCTCATAAATACATACATATATACGTATATGTACATGTGTGGTGACACTATACCATCTCCGATGGGGGGTTGATTAGCTATCAAAAGAGTGCAGGAATTCGCTTCTGTGCAGATCGTTTGTTAGGGTATCCCACACTACCCCCACACCCACGACTTGGCCGCTGCTCCAGTTCACTTTTCTCTCATCTTGCATTTGTTTCAAAACATTTGACGCTCACACCACACCACACCGCGACGCCGAACACCCCTGCCGCGGGTGATGATTAAATCAAATGTTCAAGTCAAGAGCAAACCGGCTCGGCTCTGTTAAATAATAATAACACGGGCGCACATACGGGCATTGTTTTTGTTTTTGCTTAGCGCTGAATAAGCAATAAAAGAGAAAATAGCCGACGAGTAGTACGTGTAGTAGTAGTAGTGTGCCTGCCTGATTACTATCAGCGCTCGCTCGCATCCCCAATGAAGTCATTCGCACCCGCTCCCACTGTGGGGTACAGTACAGGGGGGCGCTACTGGGACATACCCTATATCATCCAGATTGCACTGCACAGATAAGCAGGTGAAGTGACTTTCTTTCGGTTTGGGTAGAGTGTTTGGCACTCGACAAGAGTGGTAATAATAATTTCAAAGATCAAATGCAAATGCAAGTGCAATTGCAATATTCATCGAGTGACGCAATGGCCGCGATATCTTGCGCTGTGTCCCCGCTCCTTGACTCTATAAATAGCCAAGATTCGCTGCAATTTCAGCCACCTCTATTCTTTGGCTTTTCAATTAACACGAAACGTTGGCAGCTGAGCGACACTTTCGTTTCGTTTCGCTTGCAATGTTTGTCGTTGAAATTGATTTTCCCTTTTCCACTTCTCTCTCTCTTGCTCAGTTTTTCCCTTTTCTTTACGTACCGATTGGGATTGGGGGCGTGCGCTAGAAATATCTATTAGAAATACTTCTGACTGACTCTGCTAATTGTTAAGGTTTCCGTTTTGTGCTTGTCAGAAAAATGCGAACTAAACAATTACCAAAAAATATTTGGTGCCATATTTGGGACTGGCAGGCCTGGTGCCACGCCTTGCTGTGCGCAGCCCAATGAAGCAAGACAACGATTTTGGGGCACTTGGGATACGCTTGGATCCCGCTCCATATTTGGTTGTTTGTTTAGCCAATGGATTTTGCTATGGATCCTCCCTCCATGAAGAGAGGGTTCCGTTCCACAATACAATTAGCATGCACATGGCGGCCCCCAGAACGTTTATTAAGTTGCCACTGTCCCTGGGGCCCTGTGGCATATTAATGGGCATTGGGTATCTGATGGATGCATCTGCAAGTTTAATGCGAGGAATGCGCCATGCTCCCCGGTCTTGATTAATTAATTGTAAATTGAAAAGTTTGATCAATAAAATGTGTAGCAAAAATTAATAATAGAGGTAAACTCTGAAGGATCCCCCCGGGTCGGTCTCTCCGGACGGGGTGGGTGCTGCTGGCACGGTGTTTCTTTAATTGTTTTCCCCCCCCCCCATACAAAGTGTCGCTTGACACGCAAATCCCGGGGTCCGTGTCGCCCTTTAATTAAAGCCACAAAAGAGTTGTCAAATGGCTTCGGCTCGAGCCCCGCCCGGCAGACCTGGGCACTGCCAATTCCAGTTCAATAAACCCGGCCAGTCTCTGCTTTGATTTCGATTTTATGGCCATTTGTGCACTTTCGCCTGATGGAACTCGCAAGTAGATGATGGGTAGTCCTCCAACTCCAATCTCCAATTCCAAGCCGCTGTTCGCTGCACGATGGTTGGGTGGTTGGGTGGTTGGCTGGTTGGTTACCCAATCCAATCCCAATCCCAACGGCTAATGCCACTTTAGGCAGACGCCGCATAATTTGTTGTTCTGGTTGTAGCCGGGCCATATTCGTCGGCGGCATTGCCTGTTTCGGTGCCCCGGCGAGTGCGTGCGGTGCGGTGCGGCACTGACAATTGCCACATTTTGTGGAAGCAATCAATAATCGAAGTGCGTCAAAGATACAAATGTTAGACAGCCACGTTGAGGTACGACGTTACCCAATCGTCCAGCCATATTCGACACTAGATGTGGAGGCGCCTTCTGGGATGGCTGTGCTAGCGAGTCCTAGCCAATAAAGCCAGCCAATAATTCAGGTGTTGATTAATTGATGAGCTGCTTCTGGCTCTGGCTCCATTCGGCTCCATTCCCTGCCACTCCAGAGCTCCGTTCTGATTCATCTTTTGCGTCGCAGAACCAGGAATCGCGTCTGCCCCAAACATGCGCAGTTCGAGGCAGTCCTCGGCTGCGGCTTCTTCTTCAGCTCCAGCAACCACATGAGGAATTCCTCCCTCGCAGTCGCAGCGGAATGTTGGACAGAATAATCAATGGGCGCACACAGCATTGACCGGCGGGGCGCGGCGCGGCAGGGAGGGGAAGCCAACCAAAAAGAGGGCATGCCGATGGATACACGTTCCAACGTACCGTACCGGCTGCATCCCTCAAAAAAAGCAAAACAACGCCAACAGAGACTACTGTAACAAAAACAAATCAAATGGGGGTGGCAGCAGAACCACCCCCGGCTTAAGCAGTCGGCGGCCTTGGTGTGCGTGCGGGTCGGCCTCTGTCTCCAAATTCTGTCTCTCCTTAAAGTGAATTTAATCTGCAAGGCAACCTGGATGGGACTTCCTTTTTTCGGTACTTCCATTTAATTTCACTTCATAATAATGAGCCGATCCGATGCAGATTCGGCAATCTTTTAGGTATGGCCATTCTCTGTGATTCTGCGTTTTTGGTGTTCTCGTATCTTCAAAATTGCGCCACAGGTTTCCGCCCTTTATGCGGGTCAGTGTAGGGGGAATACTTTTGAACGTACAGTCAGACATAGCTACAGCGACTGTTGCATAAGAATATTTATACTTTATGGGGTCGGAATCTCTTGCATCTACTGACCAGGGCGATCTCGCAGCAGCAACAATTAATAGAAACGCTCCATCTGGTCGCTAACTCTGTACTAATTGTACAAGTTATTTAAATGTAACCAAAGTAAAATTCTGATATTCAAATTCAAACTCTCGGGCGCCAAAACAAACGCGCTTTACAGCACTACTGTAACTATCGATAGTATCGATGCCGATAGCTAGTTACTCCATAATCATAGCAGTCAGCTTTTGTCAGAGTGAGAAACTGAATTTTCGATATAATTAATCGAACAATCGTACTATATTTGTAGAGGAAGCGCGGAAATTTAAAATATAGAATATAGAAATAATATAGGAATTAATCAGAAATTTTGTATTTACCAAACACTTATATATAAATGTCTCTTAATATTTTTCAGGTATGTACTCGTACGCAGCTATCTGGAATATATTTTACAATTAAACTTGAAATGGCTTCACTTAATGGTATGTTTTGTGTAAATTTAAATTAATTAACCCAAAGCAGCAGCTACTACTTATATACGACTATCAAACCTGTTCGCCCTCTACCCCCTTTATACACATAACGCGTACCGTACCCTAACCTAAGCCAAACAAAACTCTTCTCTGGTTTGTCTGCCACACATAACCTTGACAATCGAATTAGCAACCAAGAACAGAACGAGGAGCAGTTATACCACCCACGAGAATGGGAATGAGTACGAGTACAAGTGTGTCTGCTGGTTCGTCGCTGGTTTACTTTTCATGTGCAGACATTAGAGCAGAGCGCGGGAATCTTGCGTGTTGTCTGCCTCTGAATAGTCAACAATTAAAGGGGCAGCCGTGGAGCCTATGACAACAACACCTGACTAATACGAATGGCCCCGTTATAAATATTGCTGCATGGTGCGTGGCAAGCGGTGCCTGTAGCTTCCCTCTCTATACATATATATACTCCCTGGATCCTTATGTATTTATTTTCGTACTTTGCATTTGACTGTCGTTAGCTAAGCATTGCACAAATGCGCACCGCTCCCCGTAGGATCCATTAAATTAATCAAGTCAAATGAAATCTGCATATAAAATCAGGGCTGCCACCCCACAAAATACTGAGGGGAGTGCTGTACTGTACTGCCCCCTGTGCTCATTTGTTGGCGTGTTGAATTTGCATTTTTCCCCGGCGCCCCACTAATAAATTTGTATGTCAATAGAATAAGGCAAAGGCGTCGTCTGAGCACCTCCTGACTGTAGTTTTGTGCTGACTTTGCTATTTCGCTATAAGGTATTGGGTGCCTTGCCTTCTCTTTGAGCTGCGCAAGGACACTTTGCGTTTATGCGCCCCGAGAAGTTTACGAGCCGAGCAAAGCAGCACCAGACGTACCCCCAAGAGAGAGAGAGAGTGGGGCTGCAGCATTGGGGCACATACCAATACCGTACACCCCGGTATCGTATCAAAACAAATTCTAAGTATTGTAATTCGAAATTTTTCAAAGCAAATAAAAGCAGTCGAGTTTTAACACTCGCGCCAAACACAACGTCAAGTCAGAGCTGGGCTACCGCTACCGCGACCGCGATATTTTCCATACGGAAATGCCTAAATAATAAATCGAAAAAATCGAACTAAATAAATATATTAATAACAAATCAACTTGTGAGCTGCAGTTGAAGTGAGTGCGTGGTCCTTTTGCTGTTGTGTGGGACTCGACATGTGCAGTTCGTCCTCATCCTTGCGGTGAGCGCAAAGTGCAAAGTGCATTAGCCTCTTCCCCTGTGGGCCTGTGTGTGGTGCGAGTACGTGGCCAAGTTATTGCCCTCTGGCTAGGAAAAATCGATACAATTGCATGGCACTTGGTTTATGGCAAGCCGCAACAATTGATAATGGGTCCGTGTACATGTCCATGTCCGGGTACGTAGACGTATCCGTCGTATCCGTGTACGAGTCCTGTCTGTGATAAAAATCGCAACTGCATTGTGGGAACGGAACAACTTTACCCAACAACAAAATTCAATTGGCAGTGGCCAAAGTTTGTTAACAATATTTTCCCCTGGCGCAGGTTCTAATTGAAAGGCGGCAGAAGCATGCTTAGAAGACCTAAAATAAAACGAAAACCAAGTGGAGAGGGGCACAAGTTTTGTTTTTTATGTGCTGCAGTTGGAACTGCAACTGCAACTGCCTGGCATTCCCCCCCTTCCGGCTGATAATCAATTTGGCCAAGACCATTTGGCCACAAATGACAGTTGTTGGCGGTTCCATTGTTGCGGTTGACATGAACATTGTGTGGAATTTCAGTCGAGTCGATGTCAGCCAAGAGAAACAAATCATTGTGGCCCTAATTTGCCGTTGACTTGCCTCCTTCTTCCTTCCATCCTTCCATCCTTCCTTCCTTCCTTCCTTATTCTTTATTTTCATTTCATTTGTATGGCGAATCCTGGGCTCTGACTCGACACAAGTCGGTGCTGACGCTTTAGTTGCCCCACGGGTGTTGCACGTGCTGCTCCAAGAGTCAGCAGCTTAAAGGGATAAACAAAAGCGTTACGCTGCTGTTTGTCTGCTGTGCAATTTTATCGATTTCCCTGTCAAATGTAGCAGCACACAAACAATAAAAAAAAAAATAAAAAAAAGAAGAAGAAACCCCCAAAAAAGTTTTCGCTTCTTTGCAAAGTTAATTGCCAGGTAGTGCCTAGAACCAGAGCTCAGTCAGAGACCCCGGCCTGAGCATTCCTCCCGATATGAGCGATACCGATGCGGTGAGTGAAAGTCGTTACACCTATATCAAGAACTATTCGAGCTGCACTTAAAGCCCGTACCCGGCCAGCAATGATATATCACCCAATTGCTTATGCACAAACGAATCGCGGACTGGAATTTGCCTGTCAGGAGAGCATAATTTGAATACAACTGGGATATTAATGACGGCAATACGAGTACCGACCTTGCATACATCATGTCCCGGGACCAGGGAGACCCGGGGGCCAGACATGTCAGTCCCGAGCGCAGGGAACCCTTTGCGAATCAACAAATCAAACAGCGATTTGCTCTCGATTTCGTGGTGGCTGGGTTGGGCTTTCGGTTTGGCTTTGGCTTAGAACCTGCCGAAACTTTTGTTGAATCAATAAGCCACAAAAACAATTTGGGTCACGTTACAGCTGGCAACCGACATATTCATGACAAAATTCCCTATTGGGAAACCAAACCAGAGCCAAACCAGAGCCAAACCCTGCCCCAGAGCCCACAATCGAAATACCAAAACAATACTCGTAAAATGTAAACAAATGCAAAAGGAAGCCATCAAATTTGAGAGGCTCCCCCCCCCAATACGAAGCATATTGATGGGTCTCTGCGCCGCAATAAGTACGAGTATTATATGCACATGTAGCAGCAGTACGTACACCCGTATCCAGTAGCTCGTATTCCATGCACTCCCACTCCTGCCCGCCAAGGATATCATTTGTGTATGGCCATACATATGCAAATGATATGAGCCACTTGGTGCTGCTGCTGCTGCCAGGCTGGAACTAGAGACCTGCCAGGTATTGGGTTACCCGACACTTGCACATTTCTGCACCGACACCGCAGGCGAGAAGTTCGAAAGATGTACGGCACGGCAAACGATAGATCCCAAGAGCGTCCTGTGGCGTCACAGGAGTATGCCTCCGGCAATCGTCGTCCCTCCTATGAGGCTGCAATCGATGGCTATTCCGCCGAGGAGCGCTCCGCCAGAAGTGGAGCCATGGCTGCAACTGCGGACTCAGCCTCCAAGCAGCAGCTGCGTCCGGAGTACGCCTCCAGCATGGATCGTTCAGCCTACGAGACGTCAATGCAGATGCGTCCGCAGTCGAATGCCGAGTACTCCTTCAATAGCAAGCAGCAGCATCCACAGATTGACTATCCCACCAGCTATGGCACCCCTCCGCACAGCAATCCCCAGACCCCAGACACAGCCACAGCACCCACCACCCAAGCTTAATCCAGACTACGTGCGAAAACCACAGAACTATGTCTTGCCACCGCAGATGCGTCCACCTGTGGGGCCGCCACAGCCGCGTCCCCCCTTTGCGGGAGCCAGGCCGATGGTCGGCATGGGACCACGCCCACCCATGCCACCGCCGAATATGGGGGCCAGGCAGATGCCGCCTCCGCTGAGGAACACAGAGAGCAAGAGCAATCTGCTGATGGGTCCGCCGCAGATGAGGCCGGGAATGCCGCCACAGCTGAGCATGCAGCAGCCCCGTCCGCCCAATGCCGCAGGACCGCTCTCACCGCCCGGACAAGGACCTGCACGGCCACCGGGCGGCTTCCCCTGGACGCCAGCTGGTGCTCCACCTGGCATGCCGCCCGGCGCACGACCTCCGCAGAATATGACGCGACCTCCGCCGCCGACATTTGCGCGCCCGGCACCAGGCCAGCCGCTGCAGGCGCCATTCCGACCGACCTTCAGTCAGCAGCCCATGCAACAGCTGCAGCAGCAGCCACCACATCAACAGGCCCCACCACAACAGCAACAGCAGCAGCCACACATTCAGCAGCAGCAACAGCTACGCCCACCATCGTCAGTGGGGGCGTACAATGACGATGACGATGACGTGATCATGGGTCCAGCGGTGACTCCCCTCAAGACATTCAACATGAAGGCCGATCCGATGGGCTCGCCCCTGCTGGAGGAGACGGAGCCACCCTTCGAGACGAGTCCGCCAGCCGCAGAGGTCCGCAAGGGGAAGGGGCCTGCTCTGAGTAAGATCGCCCCCATTAAGTGAAGCCATTTGCCAGTTTAACAGAGTTCTTTCAGCGGATGTACCCCCCAATATCGTGACATTAGCATAATTAATTTATTTGTTTTGTTATCATTGCAGAAGGCGACAATGACAGCGGCGTGGATGAGTCCACTCAGGAGAAGGTGAGTCGTCGCGTCGTCGCTTTGCCGCTGAACTAGTTAGCCATTTGGCCATAAATGCGAGCTGGTTGCGTCTCCATTAATTGGGAGGAAATTAACTGGCAACTGGCAACTGGCGACAAATTAATTTAATTCCGTTGACCCTCTCTTTCTGTTCACAAATCATAAATATCTGTAAAAGGCAAGCCAGCCAGCCAGCCCCCCTGCTGCTTCAAGCTCCACGCTGCACGCTCCATTAGATAGCATACGAGTATAGGTACCATGCCCGACTTCTGCCGGGGGCCACAGTCGAGCGGATGGTTCCCCAGAGTAGCCCAGTGTACCCAAGATCCGAAAGTGTGCTGGCTCGTGTGCTGACGCCAAAGTTCAGACTAAGTTTTGTCTTGGCAGACGGCAGTTCGACGCGCCGGAAAAACCCGCAAGAAAAGTCATATACATTCGTGATACATTTAATGCGAGTATATCTGCCATAGTAAATATTCGAACGTGAACCACACACACAGGTGCGAGGCAGAAAACTTTGCAAAGGGGGCAGGGAAATACTACAAATATTGCCAAAAAGGAAACACACAAAAAACGATTTACGAGTAAATGCCCCTGGTGATATCTGAGCCGTGTGCCTTGTGCCTTGTGCCTTGTGCCCTGTGCCCGTAGATAAGTGCCAAACACGAACTGGGCGCACTGGGGCACACACAAATATCCATAGGTATATAGGTGTAGGTTTAGTGGGGGCTTGTTGTCTCTATAAATACCAAGGCATATGCAAAAACGACACGAAGTGGCGACAATCGATAAAACAATGCATAAACTATAAGTCCTTCGTACCGACATCGACATCCACAATGGCATCGGCATCGGCATCACCAGGCAGCAGGCATCAGGCAGCAGGCCAGAGGCAGGAATAAATGCCAATGGCATTACGTTGACAGCTTTGGCCAGCCTGGGAGTGTGTTTGAGAGCATCAGCAAGCATATCGTCGTAAATAGGAGATGAACCTAGTCAAAGTGCCCGCCAGAGTGCCCAAACGGGTGAATCCCAGGATGCATCTGGTCATCCTGGCCGATTCCAAATATTTTCTTGTAATCAACGCTGAAATTTCAGTTGAAATGTGGCCCGTTTTGTGACTATATTTTTGTGTGGTTTGTATCGTGATAGGACCGCAACGGACCCATTTCACCCAGCTCCCCGGTGAAGACGCCCACATCGACCTCATCGAAGGCTGACAAGTCGGGCATTTCGCGTCCACCGAGTGCCACGCCCTCGAACAAATCCGCATCGAAGTCGCGCAGCGCTTCGAAGAATCGCTTGCTACTTAAGACCCCAGAGCCCGAGCCAGTTAAGAAAGGTAAGTGCTCGGTGTAAAAGCCCCAACTCAAACTCAATTGATTTCGATTCTATTCGACCCCTGGTCGCAGTTCCAATGAACAAGGTACAGGTGGGACATGCGCCTTCGCCGAACCTGAAGGCGGTGCGCTCCAAAATCGGTTCACTGGACAATGCCACTTACAAGCCGGGCGGCGGTCATGTGAAGATCGAGTCCAAGAAGGTCGACATCAAGGCAGCGCCCCGTATCGAGGCCAAGAACGACAAGTACATGCCCAAGGGCGGCGAAAAAAAGGTATGTTGGGGGGTTGGGTTGAACCCAAGGAAGGGACCGTACCGTACCGTACCGTGCGACTGGTGGGGTATCCTCATGTAATCCTCTGTAAATTTCTCTCATCAACAAATGGCTTTTAAAGTATCGATCTGAATCAAAATCCAGATCTAGATCTAGCCAAAGAAACGTAAAGTATTGGCAAACAAAAATTTAATTTCACGCTCGACTTGCGATTTGAGCATATACTCGTACCTACTCGTATACCATGTACATATGTACATATATATGTATTTGCCATTTAGATGGGCATCGGCAGCCCACAAGCAGCACGGTATCTTGTATATTGTATCTCGTATCTTGTTGTAGGAAATGCAATTACCAATCCACAGCGACACTTAGCAACATAATTCCGTTGCCTTTTGTAGCGAATACCCAAACCCATAGCCATACCCATAACTATAACTATCTCCCATCTGCCATATCCCACTTCCATATACGCATTCGGTGTTCCAGAGCTGGGCGTGACTCTGACATTGAAAGCGACTGCCATTGGCGGTTGGGGCTGATGTTGCATATATCTGTGGATATCTCTACTCTTTGCGTAATTTGACTTTGGCTTATAATGGTTCTGTTCTACCTTGTATCTATTTACAACTTTACAACCCCCACACACACCCACGCCATCACCAACAATCACCACCTTCTCGAACACCTCGAACCACACCACCACGAACCACAAAACCAACCAATCAACCAACCAATCAACCACCGCAAATCCGTAGATAGTTACAACAAAGTTGCAGTGGAACGCAAAGTCGAAAATCGGCTCATTGGAGAACACGGCCTATAAGCCCGGCGGCGGCGATAAGAAGATCGAGACCCTCAAGATGGACTTCAAGGACAAGGCCAAGCCGAAGGTCGGCTCCAAGGACAACGTGAAATATCAGCCAGGCGGCGGTGATATCAAGGTATGTGTCCCTGCTCCTAAATCTTCCCATATTTCAGTTCACATTTGAGTTCGAGCCAAAGAGGCGGTTAAGTATTGTTTCCGATTGCTCCTTTGGCTTTTCTTTGTTCTTTTTTGGATGCTCTACTCTCGTTTCGTTACGATTTGTTCTGTCCTGGCAACAGTTGGCATGCAGTTGCTCCTCCAATCCACGGCAACAAACAGCAAAAAAGCCACTACTGGCATGATGGGCTGGGCATGGGGAAGATGCATGGGGAAAGTTCTCTTAGTTGTTAAAAACAGCATGCTGCAAATGTTTCGGTGTACACAACAAAACAAGAACAAACAGATCCCACTAACACACACACACACACACACAAACATATCCGAGAGTAAAGTCTGAAACACTTTCCAGAGCCACTCGAACAGAATGTCCCACGATAGAAAGATGAACATCATCTATGGCGAGGGCTCCAAAATTGTCAACCAACGCGCCTGCCTGGTGAGCAGCGAGCGCCTGGATGAGAATTTGTATAATGAGGAGGAGGAGTAGCTCCCCTAGTTTCTGGGTAGGTAACACACCACCCACCAACCACCCACCCACCAGACTAAACACACAAAACACACACATAGCTTAGAGACGCATTGATTAAACAGTTAAACGTTCCAATTTGGGTTAGCATTGGCAGGGAAAGAAAGCATTCTGTTTAGTTACTAACAAACAATAAAAACTACATTCAGGATAATATTTTATTAGTTGTTTCACCTTGATTTTAACGAACCCAAAACATGTTTAAAACATATTTTTGAAAAATGTATTTTGCTTTTAACTAAACCATTTAACCAACCGTATTGAAGGATAACAGCCCCAAGGAAGTAAGTAGTCGTGATCACACTCTTTTCTCTCTGTGTATTATATCTGACCTACGTATATGTACATATGTATATGTGTGCTTTTTGTATGAAACGTTTAGATGCATAATTTTGCTTTGTTTTTTTTTTAATCCACAATTTTTGATATCCTCAAGGCACCCAGAAACACTCCCCGTAGAAATTGTAGCTATTCTTTGTGACTTTGTTTCCGTTCTGTGCTCTGCTGTTTCTGTGTTGAAAACTCTAAATTTCAGTTGTGTCCTCGATTGGCTACCCCACCCCACCCCAACCCGATTCGTGTTGTGTTGTCGTGTGTCGATAATATAGTCCAACCGCAGAGTTAAAATACCCCAAAAATTAAATACCCCGCCACATAGCTGCTGCTGTGTCCAAATCGAATTTCAAGTGTGATTTTGCTAATCAATTTCTGTACGTTGCCGGTGCCGGTGCTACCTTTCAGATACAAACGCAAAAGATAGAAATTAAGGCACAAAGCAAAGTTGGCTCTTTGGATAATGTAAAGCACAGGCCCGGTGGCGGCGAAAAGAAGATTTTCGATGATAAGGATTATTTGAAAAATGTTGAGCACTCTGCTGCACTGACAACACCACCAACACAGGTAAACTACGTGTACATAAACCATCCCCATCCATCCATACAGTTATCAGTAATTAAACTAGACGTAGACTAGAGAGATTAACCTTTAACCTTTACCCTTTAATGTTAATCTTAAACCTAAATATATATCCTGATTTATTATATTTGATTTGTTATTTAAAGGCACACCACTGAAAAGTATTCTAACAAAAAAAAAAAATAATAACTATGGATATCCCATTTTGTGTTAACTTTAAGAAATTCATTTTTATGTAATTTGTATTTGTATTTGTACTCTTGTTTGCATTTGTGGTTTACACCTTTTATGTTTTACTTTTACTGTCAGCCGATAACCAAGCACCCCACAGCAACCCCCTCCAAAAGAATAAAGTTCCACACACACACACACCAACACCCACCAAGCAGAACACCCAACACCTAACCTAACCACACCCACCCACACCGCTTTCAGAGAACTCCTCCCAAAAAAATTATCAAACAATTCCGCAATTGTACAGTACAATTATTAAAATAACCAATGAGAAATTAACACTTGGACTTCTCCAAGTACTCGTAATTCTTGGCACTTTCAGGTCTCGAAATATGGGTGGGGGCTTTTCTTCTCTTTTGAGTTTTGTGTAAATCTTCATTTAGTTTCGATGATTCTTACATTTCATTTATGTTTACATTTAAAAATGAATTTCTTTCAAACTCAAACTGAGATTCATTGGCGATCGATCGAATCGATGACAAAATTGCTAGCAAAAAGAGTTCCACATTCTCGTGTATACCAGAATTCTCTAACAAAAAAAAAAAAAAAACACCGAATTTCTCTTAACTATTCTCTTCTCTTTCTTTCTCTGTCTCTCCCCCCTGCCTGCCCACCCGCCGGCCTAACCGTAGTTTGCGGCGCAAGGGCGCTTGATTGCAACGATCCATCTAGAATTCGGCCTCTGTAACTCAGACTGTGTGTGTAACAATATATTCGAGTCGCTTTTTAAATGAACAACTCCCCCAATACATACACACATACATACATAGCTTTAACAACCGAACAAAGAAACGAACAATAAGACATCCATCAACTACTTGTACTGTACCTAAGGCCAAACACCAGTAACTGTTGCAGGACTACTTGAAAAACACACACACAGGACTATACTTAAACTCGAACTCGAACTCAAACGAAAACGAAAACTAAACTCAGTTCAACACTCAACTAAGAAAAGCTCTGACCGAAAATCTCGAATGAGTTTGCAAGAGTTTCTATTTTAAATTGTATACTAAAACCCGATAACTATATACACTATCCATCGGTTCAGGCTATACTATCCCCATGGAACGTGTATATTTAGATAATATATAAGCTGATCCTCGCCCAGGGGCGGACACTCGATCCTATCCGGCCAAACTCAATTGAATTTTAACCAAAACCCGCTTTCGGGTGCCGCACCTGGGTCTGAGGGGGCTGAATGTTTGTTAATTCCTTTAGCATTATATATGGTAGAGTTATATATCCTTTAACACAAAGTATTATTTATGGCAAAATGTCGAGCAATTTTATACTATATAGGATAGTACAAATTTTAAACAAAATACTCGTACTTACTGATCCGCAAATGCTCAAAGAATCCCCAGTAACCCCAGAGACTCTGACCTTGAGGACGATTTTGAAAAGGCTGCCAAGCATTTAAAATCATTTTATAAGAAAAGTGCTTTGCTCACACACAGATGCCAATACATAAACACACACCAATACACCCATACATACTTACATTCTCTTTGAATTCCATTTAATTATGAATTGTTAAGTGTGTTTCTTAATTTCTGTGGCTTAATGTTTCTCTTTCGTTTATTATAGGAATATATATACCAATTTTATTAGGCTAGTCATATACGAAACTACATAAGTGCATTAATTCGAAATCCGTATACATGTTACGTCCATTAGAGTTATTTATCGTCTAATACGTTAAGAGTATAATCTCAGAATACGAAGCGGTCACGTACTCGTACTCGTACTCGTACTCGTAAAGAAACATTCGATCATCGATCAAAAGAACATCCTCCTCCGTAAGTGAATGTGCGTTGCGTGTGTTCTACCCTGAGATGTGTCCGTTGCATAGATAGATATTACCTATACCTATATAATTAACAGTGCTGTGATAGTACCAGAATCAAATCTGATTTGCCAGTGTCCACCAACCAACCAATCCATCCATTCACCCCAAAAAATGGTTTCATGTGCAAATCTGCTTGCCTCGGCTGAGAGCCCAGAGCTCAGAGATGCCCTCCCTACTCCACTCCACCCTACTTTCTTTCCACGCTCCATTCTCTCATGATATCTAACAAGGCTTTTGGTTTATGTTTTTAATAGTTTGCCCCCTATTTTGATTTGTGCAATTATATATGCATTCACATTTATATTTTTATCTTGAACGCAGAGTCCACTACCATCCATGACGGCTTCTGGCGCTGATGAGAATTTAAATCAACAAAGCTAAACGCCAAGTGCCCGAAATGCATGTTGAGGTTGAGCTGAATCTTTTCTTTGCAGTGTAGCAAAGTGAAACCAAACCGAACATTTGAATATTTAACAAGCGCTAATTTGAAAAATATATCTTAAGCAAAATGCAAAAAAAAAAAAATGCCTGCACACATTGGCAAAAACGATGCAAAATATGCAATTATTTCCACACCCACATCACACACACCACAAACCACAAACCAGACATGTAATGAGAGCCGATCCATAAGGCTCGCTTCAAACAGATGCACTGAGATACAGATGCATCTGCACCACCAGAAATCCACATCACATAGAAGCGGTATTCAAGATTCAAGAGTATATTTGACTAGTTGAGCAGTGCACTCTTTATCATACAGATACAAGACATTAACTATAAACTATATATCTCAATGTATTACGAAAAACCCATATATACATACAAATATATATACATACATTTATACATAAAAGTATCTAAATATTTAAGCGAATTATACAAGAAATCAAATCATAAACTGTGTGCTTAGTTGAAAATGTTGAACGACACTTAAAAGTAAACCTAAACTTAAATGAAACCCACTTGACGTTGAACAGTTGAACGAACTACTCGTACTCGTATAATGCAAGACCTTTTCCCCATCCATTATATGCAATTTAGATACTTTTGCGAACAGCCCAACCTAAAACAGAACAGACCATAAAAGAGAACAGAACTTCAAGCCGAACAGAAAAAAATGAACACGTATAAGCATATTATTACTTACTATTAATTTGTATCTTATTAGTAAAGCGCATCATTCTCACAATTTATTTACACCCCTGTTACAAAATGTAAGATCAATGGCAAAATTTAAACATAATAAAAGAGACAAAAAAAACGTTTTTTTATTTACCAAAATTCTGGCGTTGTTGCACTTAGTTATTTGAATCTCAACAGCCACCAGCCACTCCTATATGGTACTATAGACAAACAATACAATCGTATATACAAAATTTTTGGAGAATCTTAAGTATATTTGGTAAAGCCACGCCCACGACGCAAGCGTCCAACCAAGCCACGCACGAGCACACATCTCTACCTCATTGGATGCATTGGTAATCGAAACAATTTTTGAATAAATTTGATTAAAACAAATTAAGTAAGTTTCCATCTCAATCCAGCTATTGACTTTCGACTACTATTCAGCTTTCCATTCAGCGGTCAATGCATGTGTGAATCGAATTAAAATCTTTGTCCATTCTATCCTCCCATTCCCGCCCCACAGTACTGGAAGGCGCCGCGCATTCAACGCGCCACCACACTGACCTCGTCCATGTCCCTGCCAGCCGAGTGCCTGGTGCTATCTGTGTCCATGCCCTCGCTCAACTCGGAGCCCAAGCGTCCCAAGAGTGCGGGCCCCAAGAAGAAGCCCGGCCAGGCTGTTCACACGAAGCCGTTCCGCTTATACTGAGTCGATGCGATGCTGCTGCCTGCTGCTGCTGCTGCTGCTCCTCCTCCACATGTTGCACGAGACGACACACCACATCCAAGCACTCCACTCCCGAGATTTGTGCACACGTTGATACACGAGTATCGAGGCACGCACTTCTATAAAAATACGAGAACCATTCAGAACAAATTTGATGAAAGCTGTTAATTGTTTAGAACGAGTTACTTACTACAAAACGAACCGTGGCATTTACAAACAAAATAAACGATAAACTGAGAGGCAAAGTTAAGCACAAAAGAGAATACCAACGAGTTGTTTCATTAAATAATTACAGTATATATTTCTCGTAAGTATTAAATCAGTTTTACGGCTGCTGAAGGGGCAACTTCATCATCATCTCTGGAGCCAAAAACTGGGGCCCTTCGTTTACAATTCATTTACATAAGACATTCGATTCGATTCGTTAGATTTTAAATATAGTATTTATATATATATATATATATAATTTCGTACAAAAATGTTCCTGGGATTTCATCTCATCTTCACGCATCTTTGTGTGTTCTTTGTTTTTGTTTTTATTTGTGTATTGAGAATTGCATGCTTTTGTTTATTCGATCTATTTCGATTGTTTTGATTCTTTTGTTCCTTTGTTTTATTCGAGTCGCGTCGTCACATTTAAATGCAGTTTTTCCATTCCATTTACATAAACCATTTTGCTATCCTTACGCCGTAAAAGTTGTTTATACATCGCCTTCTTCATTAAAGTTAGGATAATAAATAAGTAATTATAGAATAATAATTTAAAAACAACAGTTGGTTACAATTTCCAAGCGACAGAGTGTCAAATGAGCGTCAAATTAGTGTTGTGATTATGATTACAATTCGACGATTTAGAGTAAAAAAAATGCTTGCATATGCTTAAATATCGTATAAAGGATGCTTTTATCTAAGAGCTCTCTCATCGTCGTCACGGGGTGATTGGCCTTGGCTTTAGTTTAAGGAGAGGTTTTCACGTTTTAACTCTTGGCTAGATAATTATAATACATTTAATGGGGGAAATTAGGATATGAGATGCCTAGATGCTCATTGATGATATGCGAAACGAAACCAATGCTTTGCTTCATTATAATTTTCTCGTGCGCTGCCAGTTACTGTTAGTACAAATACATTCGATTCAATTGACTAGATTTCTATAGCTGATTTAGATACATTAGATAGATTTCCTGTTTCTGCTGCGGCGGCTGCTACTGCTGCTGTTTGTTTTTTTTTGCGGGAGGGAGTCGTGTGTTGTGCTGTGTTGCAATTTACACAATAATACAATATGAATAATTTTCAACTTATAGAGAATGTGTGGCTCATGTATGTAGTGCTCAATGAATGGAGTTCCCTGTTTTTGATTCGCTCAAAAGGTGTGCTTTCTATCAGTGTATGTGTATGTGTGTGCTGCTGCTGCTTCCGAGTATTCTCTCTCTGTCCTTCTCTTTGTGGTCGTTACAAAGCAAATAACATGCTACCTTATTTACATAACTAGACACTTTCGCTGGCGTCGCTTTAATGGCTCTGGTCTGAGTACGGCGCGCACCGCTTCTTCGAACACCTAAAATGCATATCGAGGGAGGGAACAAGAGAAAACCCAGATAAGTGAGATCATATACTCGTGAGTGCGTAAGTGGGTGCGCCGCCACTCTGATCACTTACTTGCTTAAGGCCGCGCTGCGTCAAGGCGGAGCACTCCATATATTTCACAGCGCGTATTTTATTCGCCAGCTTCTGACCTTGCTCGCGCTTTAGCGGCATCAGACCCTGTACGGCCAGGTCACTCAACGTCTCACGATCTTCCCGCAAATCGATTTTAGTACCTGCAATACAATACGCCACATAAATACATACATATACAATACGTTCACCATGAGCACCATGAGCTGGCTGGCAACTTACCAACTAAAATGATGGGCGCGTCGGGGCAGTGGTGTTTTATCTCCGGATACCATTTCGAGGTGACATTTTCGAATGACGAGGGACTCGCCACGCTGTAGCATATCAGGAAAACATCTGTCTGTGGGTAGGAGAGTGGACGCAGGCGGTCGTAGTCCTCCTGCCCCGCTGTATCCCATAGTCCCAGCGAGACCTGTATTGTGTCCACTTGCATGGGTGCGGAGTAATTATCGAAGCTATTTCAAATAGAAAAATAATGGTCATCAGCGTTGGTAAATAATCTGAAATCAGTAAGAACCGGAAGAAGTATCGGATACTCACACTGTAGGCACATATTCACCGGGAAAACTGTCAGTTGTGTAGGAGATTAGCATGCAAGTCTTTCCGACGGTGCCGTCACCAACGACAACACATTTTATGGGCCTTCCGGTTGACATCGTGAGTCGTGACTATGTGTGCTGTGTGACCGGCAAAAAGAGTAAGAGAGCACAAGATATTGTAGACGATGTGAGTGTGCACTCGTACGAGTATGTGGGAATGTCTTTCCAATGAATGCGTGCGCGCTTAATTCAATTAATTAAGATCTACTTGAGGCAATAAACTCTGCCACTCTGTTGTGGCACTGTCTGACCACAGCACATTTCTGAATACATACTTTAATTGCCTTTAGGGTCTACAGACCGAAATGCTGCACCCGCGACTAACAGGCCAACAGGCCAACCTGGCATACACTCGTACATACTATATCTCAGTGTGATCAAAAGGCTGGGCGGTGTTCGAAAGGTGTGTCCCCAGGCAGAACAACAAACACAGGCACAGCCACATCGGCAGCGGCAGCGACATAATAAAACGAAAGCCTCATTTCTGCTCGGAGGAGACTCTTGTTTTTGCAAATAAAATTTACGAAAATAGATCATGATGCGACACTCAACTGCGGCACTCATAGAAAATAATGGGAACAGCGAGCCAAACACACAACCAGAGCAAAGCAAATGGCAACAGTTGCTCTGCGCCATAGAACCAGGGCCCTGGAGGCCTCCAATGATGCATGGGTGGAGTGCGTGGGGGAGGTGTGTCGACAGACGAGTGCGCCCAAATGTTGCGGTGACGCGGAAGCCACCGCACCGGCAGACGCGCACTGATAAAAATAGACACAATTAAGATCTAATAATGCAGAGGGCGGCGCGACTGTCTGACGGCGCCTCCGGTCTGACATGATTTAACCACAATACGGATGCCAATTCAATTAAAGTTCAAGTGAGACATTACGCCACATGCAATGCCTGGGCGCAGGGCTGGGCGCCGCTGGCCGACACTCGCGCGTTCTTTTGTTGTGGACGCCCATGCCCCCCACTCGTCTTCCATTGTTGCCGTGGGCCGCAGGGCAGGCCCTGCAGTCCCTTGCCCTGCAGTAATTGCATATTCACGCAAAATGAAATTGTTGTTACCGTTTTAACCTATCCTTTCTTTGTCTGCACCGAGTAGTCGAGTTGTCCAAGAGGAAGCGGCGACTGTTTTGTACTTTGCTTATATCACTGGAAGTGTTTTTGTGCTCCACAAATGCAATGCGCTGGCACACGCACCGCAGCTCAAAGATTACTTTCCGCACGAATTGTAAATGTTTTTACTTGTAAATATCTGTTTAATTGGCAGCGCAACGTTCCTAAATTATTTTTTTGCTTTTTTTTGTTTCCACACAAACACACACACGGGCACACACACACCCTTTCTGACAGCAGCGTCGCTAGAATGACAAGCAGTGCTGTAGGTCTGTGCACCGAAAATGCCAATTTCAACGTTGCCCAACACTGCACAGTTGTTTTCGCGGTGCAATGAATAAATTTGTTTATAAACTATTTCAACGCGTAAACTATTCGAATTCAGGCAGAAGGAGCATTTGTTTAACAGCTGCTAGGCATGTGGAAGGGAGTAAGGACAATGCGGAAGCTCCCACGGTGCTCGTGGAGAAGGACTCGCATATAACATTAATTGGCCTGAATCGGGAGACAAAGCGCAACTCGATCGACGCAGCAACTGCCCAAAAACTGGGCGAAGCCATCAGCCAGTTTGAGGCGGATGATAGTTCGCCCGTGGGTGTGCTGTACGGCATTGGTGGCTCTTTCTGTGCCGGCTATGACCTGGATGAACTCGAGGCGGAGGCGGATCGCGGCAGCCTGAACTTTCTGTTGCGTCATGAGGGCTCGGTGGGACCCACACGGCGGCATCCCCGCAAACCCATTGTGTGTGGCATTAGTGGTTTCTGTGTGGCCGGTGGCCTGGAGCTGGCCCTGCTCTGTGACCTGCGCGTAATGGAAGACACGGCTGTTCTGGGCTTCTTTAATCGACGTTTGGGCGTACCGATCAGCGACGGCGGCACCGTGCGTCTGACCGCTGCAGTGGGCTTCTCGAATGCCCTGGATATCATCGAAACGGGCCGACGTGTCTATGCACGAGAAGCGCTGCGCATCGGCCTCGTCAATCGTATCGTGGCCACGGGCACAGCCCTTGGCCAGGCCGTTAATTTGGCATTCTCGATTGCCAAATTTCCCATCGGTTCGTTGATGCACGATCGGAACGCTGTGCTGGAGAATGCGAATGCCTACAGCCGTGCCGGTTTCTATGCGGGCACTTACAACGAAGTCATGAACGTGACATCGGACATGGTCACGGACATGCAGGAGGGCGTGCGGCGATTCAAGAGCTGTGAGTAGCGATTGTTGATTCTAAGATGGAACTATTTGATGAACCTTTTTTCATGTCCATGCAGCTGAGGAAAAGGGAGCCAAAACCGAATCGTGGCACATCAAGGAGAAGAACATTCCAGACTGGGAAAAGGCCGAAATCGAATTGGAGAAGCAATTTAAAAAGACGTGATCGAATATGTTTCAATCTTTAGAATAATTCATGGTGCAATATTAGGTTGTGTATACCTACGATATTTTGTATATATGTACAAGTAAAATGTATTTTGTTATTTTTATAAAACGAAAGCCTTTATTCACGTAAAATACATTTATTTAATGATTTTTGTATGTATGTATATATGTAGTTGATCGCCTAAATCGTTTAAGACTGCTCCCCCGGTGCTTATTTTCAATATTCACAACAATTACAATAACGAATTTTCATTGAATTTAAGCCTAACTACCAAAAAGAGTAAGAGGAAAAAGCACACAGATTTCGCATTCCCCCATTCCCATTCCTATTCCATTCCAACATTTCACTTCACAATTTGTGTTTACACATATAAAAAATATGCTAGGCCTAGCATTAAGTAATCGCTTTCGTTCTGTTTGGTTTGATTTTTCATGTTCAAATGTCTTCCTTGTTCTTATGTCTAGGAGAGTGTTAACGAAAGGAATTTGTTATTGCACTTAGATCGAGTAAAGCAAGAAACGAAGCTCTATGCAAAAAAGGCTGCTCTTGTACATACAAACTAGTGTTAAAAATCGACTCTGTTCTTGGTTTTTAGTTGCTTGATTTTAGATTTTAAAAATATTACATTACATCGTTTACGGCTAAACATTTACACCTGCTCCGGCTACGCTTAATCCAAAAAATTTGTCATACAAATATTGCACAAAAATGGATCGGACTGTGGAGTTTGCACACCCAATATGCATACACCCCCCCATACAAATGGCATATGGCATATGGCACATGCTTTATGTTTGCATATGGCAAAACCTTCAATCAAGTGTTGGTGGTGGTGGTGGTACGTGTTCATTACGGTCACTAAAATACGGCATCATTTCAGAAACCTAAAGACCACACAATCAATCAATATAAATACATTAAATATTATATACAAAATAAAAAAAAGCAATTTTCGCTAATCGTTCGGTCGGTCGGTCGTCGTCGTCTGCCATTTGGTATAAAAAATATATGTATAGCATTAGGCCAAAAAAGCAACTGCTGCAATCAGCTGGCGACATTTTGTAGAGCGCAATGCAATGCACAATAAGGATACGGATACGGTTACGGTTACGGATACGATACGATACGTTGCGACGATATACACACATTCACACTCATTGAGTAGTAGACCACGGAAATTACTTTAGTCGCTGTGTGACATTAGCCAGAGCCACGGCAAAGGCTTGTAGGGCGGAAAAGGGATACTGGAAGTCCAGGGTGTAGGCATTCCCATCGATACGACCAAATTGCATGACCTAAATGGTGCGATTAGTGGAGGAATTAGTCGACGAGAAAATTCATTTCCCATTCACTGGCCACTCACCTGTTTGCCACGAAACTCAATTTGGAAATTCTTGGCCGACTCCTGGGTAACGCGACCACCGAAATCCAGCTGATACACCTGACTCATCTCGTTCCACATGGGCGCCTTGTTGTGCATCACGAATTCGCGACGCACTGGCGCCGGATTCGCACAGCTGGCACTGCCATTCGGTTCGATCTTGCCGCGCTTCAGCTGTGGATGAAAGGACTTTCCTTAGAGTTGATTTGGATTGAAATTGAGGCCTCTTGATCTCACCTTCTGACGCAGCTGTGCCTTTTGGAATGTCTCCAGGTCGCGATACTGCTTGCCATTGCCGCCCCCATTGTTGCTCTCCTCCGCGCCAGAGCCAGAGCCATTCGTCTGATTTCCCTCATCGTCCGAGCTCTCGATGATGCTCGGCTTCTTGCGCTGCCGTCGATTCAGCAGCGGAGAGTTGAGAATGTGGCGTATGGGGGAGTTACTCTGCTGGCGCTTGTTCTTCTTGCTGGCCGCCGGCGAGGCCGGTGAGCTGCGTGGCAGACGCTGCGGCGTTGAGGGGGGCGTCAGACGACCCTCATCCAGATCCCGCAGACGGCTGATTATGTTCTCCAAAGTGGTAAGAGCCTGACGAGGATAATCTTGTATGAAAAGAAAGAAACTTTTAAAGGGGAATAATCCTCCTACCTGTGTGTGTAGCGACACAGATGCCTTAGCTTCCACGGGCGTGGCCTCGACAGCACCACAGGCGGCGGCTCCTGTTGCTTCTGGCTGCTGCTGCTGCCTCTCCAAGGTGCTGGCATTGCTGTTTCCATTAGCCTGTCCCTGCGGCGGTGGCTCCTTGCGACGCCAGCGCACCTCGGCCAGCTGCCTGACAAAACTGAAGGTGTTATCCTGCTTACGCCCCAGCACCGGGGTGGAGTTCTCAGTGCCAGTACCATCCTTGCTGCGCCCGTATCCGAAGCGATGCTTTCGCGTGAAGAGCGGAGAGTCCGTAAAGCTGGTGATGACATCGAAGCGTTTCTTGGTCGCGGGCTTTGGCTGTGTGGGGGCGGCGGGCGGTGCCTCTTTGGCGGGCTCCACGCTGACCACGGCCGTGATCTCGTCGAGCACAGAGTTGGCTGTGGGCTGGCACCGCTTGCAGGCACTGCTGGGGTTCATGTTGTTGCGGCACTTGAAGCAGAGCGTGTTGGCTGCACTGCTGCAGGCACTGCTGTCGGAGATCTCCTGCAGTTTCTTCACCACCAGCTCGTGCTCCTTGCTGGACAGTTTCGTTTGCAGCGACAGCAGGTCACACGAGTCCAGGCTCTTAGATTTGCCCGTCTGCTGCAGCTTGTGCCGACGCGCATCCTCCTGCTGCTGTCGCTTCCGGCGATTGCGTCGCTTGTCCACCAGCACCAGACGCTTGTTGGGCGCTTCTTTGCGCAGGGCGGACAACGCCTCATCGGAGGGCGTGATGGCCACCGAGTCCAGATAGCCGACGCTGCAGCTGCGCGTGATAGAGTCGGGCATGGCTGGTGCTATGGAGACCACCGTCGGTGTCCGCTTCATGCTGCTGCTGCTCGTGGTGGGTGTGGGCGACTGGGTCTCCTCGTCGATGTACAGCATATCACGTCGCTTCGATGTGGAGCCGGCTGGCGCCATGCACTTGACCTGCCTCGCGTCCATGCGCTCCAAGTTCAGATTCAGATTGAGCGGCACGGGATTCACGTGGCTATTGGCTGAGCGCACGGGCTCCGACATCAGAGCGTTCTTCACCTGCACCACATTGTTGGCATAGTCCGCATTGCTGGAGTAGGACATCAGTGTGGTCTGCCCCACGGCCGGCACTGCGGGCCTCTCGAAAATGATGTCCGACGGAGCCACCGCATTCTTGGGGGACTGCAGCGTGGGCACAGCGCCATCGCAGTAGAGCGGCGAGATGGCGTGCCGCGACTGGCAGCTGGAGTTGGAGCTGGAGCGGCTGTAGCTGTTCTTGAAGCTGCTTATGGTCTTTGGACGTGTTAGGTTCTTGCCGCTGCCGCTGCCACTGCCGCTGCTGCTGCTGCTGGGCCCCGTCGAGCTACTGCAGCCATTGGAGGAGGGTGCCTGATGCAGCAGTACAGTGGTAGACTGGCAGGCGGCGGCTGCGGCAGCGGCTGATCCTGCTTCCTGCGAGTCATTGGATGAATCATCGTCGTAGCTCTCGGCCCGCGCCAATGGACTGATGCCTCGTTCCCCGCCCCCGCCTCCACCACCGTTCACCGTCAGTGAGTTCTTGTGGCGCGCCAGTATACGATTGGGGCGTGGCGACATGGGTGCAATCAGCGGGGCAGAGGCACCGTCCAACAGGCGTCGCTGTGGCATCATGGGCGGCTTCAGGTTGGCCACATCTTGGGCCGTCGTCACATTCACCTGGGGCACTGGCTCGTGGTGGTGCGGCTGCTCTGCTGCTGCTGTTGATGCTGCTGCTGCTCGTCTTCGTCCTCGGAGAAGATGTTGGGATTGAAACTGGGGTCGGGACCAGGTGGAAAATCGTCGCGCAGCTCGGTGATCACCAGCGTCATCTGACGCGGCTGCAAATGCAGTAGGGACGTCTTATATGTTACTTGGCCTAAATTGGCTGGGACGGTTTTGGCAAGGCCATGGATCTTGAATTTCGTTCCCCAAATGTTGGAGGTCACCTCCACCAGCTTGACTTCCTGCTTGAGGGAGAGAGATTGATCAGTGATTGCATGTGCCCCGGACAAGTTGGATGCCCCTTACCTCCGGCAGTGTGTCCACGTACGCCAGCTCATCCAGGCTGTCGGGATCGTTGCCTCCTGCGCCTGCGCCTGCTCCTGCTGCTCCTCCTGCTGTGCCCACACGCTCGCCTGCCTGGTTGCGCCGCTTGGGACGCACTCGTTTCTTGCGCGGCGTCCTGGGCGAACCGAAACGTGACGATCGCTCCTCGTAGTCACTGTCCGAGGAGTCGGTGCGGCCGCTGTTGCCCGTTGTGGTGGACTGACTGGAGCCGGAAGAGCTCTTGGCCTCCGCCGAATATTGAAAGTACAAAGGCGCATCTAACGGAAGGGATTAATAAAATTAATACCGAGACAGCAGGCGGCGGACTGCCACTCACCATTCACTTGTGGATCGAAGATCACAAACTCCGGGCGTATCTTTGAGGTGCGCTTGCCCTTGAGCAGCGGCACCAGGCCACCCAAATACTCCAGGTAGAGCGTATAGCAGGTGCCCGAGCTCAGATTGGAGTCATCGTCGTGCCGGATCATGGTGCAGTGCAGCCGCGTGGAGCAGAGCGGTGGTCGCGACACAAAGTCGCGCAGCGACTTCAGATCAGGTACACAGCACTGCAGAAAAGGAGCATCATAAATCACTGAAATAAATAGAAGTAGATCCTCCACTCACTCGTATCGTTTGAGCAAACAGATTGCCAATGAGAGACTTAATCCTAGAAGGCAACGGCAGCAGTGGCAGCAGCGTCTCGGAGCCAACGCTCGCCTGTATCTCCAGGCGGCAGAGCAACTGCAGCGAGGCCACGCGTCGCGACACCCAGGCAATGTGCACCTGCGTACCCGTGGCAATGAACAGACGCTTGTCGTTGTGGCCCCACGTAATGGCCGACACGGGGGCACTGCTGCAGGGTATATGCGCCTGGTACAGACACGCGCCCGTTTCCGTGTAGAACTTGACCAGATTCGTGTAGCTGGTGGGCGTGGTCAGCTCCTCCGATGGCTTCAGGCCATGGCCATGGCCATCCATGCCGGCGCGCAGCGTCCCGGCCACGGCGAGCAGCTCGCGGGAATTGCTCCACTCCATGACCATGCCGAG